CGCTATGTCCAGTCAGCGTCTTGTCTTAGGCCTCCCCCGCGACCTCCCGCCGCTCCCGCCATCCCCTGCTCCTCCGTGCGGTCCTTGTGTCCAGGGTCAGCTGCGCGCCACTCCTCACTCCTCCTCCCTTCGTCCAGCCTCCGAGCCCTTTGAGACACTCCACTTAGACGTCTGGGGCCCCGCTCCACGGCTTGGACCTGAGCGAGAGAGCTTCTTCCTAGTGGTCGTTGACGACTACTCTCGGTACACCACCGTGTTCCCTTTGGCGAAGAAGTCCGACGTGACTTCTACGCTGATCCGGTGGCTGCTCGCCACCGAGAGTACTCGTCGTCGTCGTGTCAGTTGTCTCCACTCCGACCGTGGGGGTGAGTTTCGCTCCGGCATTCTCGCCAGATTCTGTGCTGAGCAGGGCATCACCCAGTCCTGGACTCTTCCAGACTCTCCACACTAGAATGGGGTCGCTGAGCGCCGGCTAGGCCTGGTCATGGAGATTGCCCGCACCTCCATGATCCACGCCCGCGCGCCCCATTTTCTGTGGCCCTACGCGGCTCGGTACGCCGCTCACCAGCTGAACCTCTGGCCTCGCGTCTCTCGGCTAGGGCCTTCACCGACCAGTCTTTGGACAGGGTCCCCTGGTGTTGCGTCGAGGTTTAGTGTCTGGGGCTGCTTGGCACTTGTCCGCGACACCTCTGCGGACAAGCTCTCACCTCGCGGCGTCCCCTGTGTCTTCCTTGGTTTCCCTGAGGCCTCCTCTGACTTCACCTTTTACCACCCTCCCTCCCACCGGTTCTTTGACTCTCGTGACGTCAGTTTCGACGAGTCCGTCCCCTACTTCGTCCGGTACCCCTGTCGAGGTCTCCCGGTTCCCCCCCCTCCCCTCTTCCTCGCCCCAGCTCCTCCTCCTCCCGCTCCCTCTCCTCCGGTACCCCCCCTGGTTCCCGCTCTGTCAGGTGTGTCGCAGGCTACCTCCCCTCCCTTGGTCCCCCCCCAGGTCTCTCCTCCTTCCCCACAGTCGTCCTCACAGCCTCCGCAGCAGCCGTCGGCGCTTCCTCTCCCGGCCACTGCGGACTCTGAGGGTGTTGGTGCTCGAGGTGAGGGCTCTGGCGGTGCTGGTTCTGGGGGTGTTGGAGTTGGAGCTGAGCGTGCACCTGCCGCAGCTGCACGTCCCGAGCGTGTTGGAGTCGGTGGTGGTGCTGGAGCTGGTGGTGTTTCTGGAGCTGGAGAGTCTGGGGCTGGTGCTGGTGCCACTGGCGGCGCCACGACTGGGGGTGCGGGTACACCTCCTACAGGTACTGGTCGTGCTGCCGCAGGGGGTCCTCGCTCTGGGGGTGCTCAGCCGGGTCCTGTCGAGGGTGGAGCCGGTTCTTCTTCGTCGTCTCCTGACACCAATCCTCCTCCTCACCCCTACCCGACTCGTTACCAGGCCCTTCGTAGTGTAGAGCGTGAGGAGCAACAGCATTTGGAGCGTGAGAGGTTGGAGGTTCAGCAGCGGGTGGAGCGTGAGCGGTTGGGGTTTCAGCAGCAGCAGCCGCAGCCACAGCCACAGCAGCAGGAGCAGCAGCAGCAGCCGCCGCAACTGCCGGAGCAGCCTCCGGCCCCTGTTTCTGGCCTTCGGGCCCTTGGTCTCCCCTCCTCTCCTCCTGTGTTCGGTCCCACGTTTCCTCCTCCGGACTCCACTCCGGCTGTCTTCCCTCGTTCTCAGTCTCCTCCGTCCCCCCCTCCTCTCGCCCACACTTGGGCCTCTCGCCCTCCTCGTGCTCGTCCCTCGTCCCCTGTCACTGACCTCCGTACCGTGTTGTTTCGTCCTCGTCCTCCTCGTTCTCCTCCGTCTGTCCTTCCTCGTCCTCCTGAGTCTTCCCTCACTGCCTCCCTGTCCACTCCGGTCACTGACTACTACCGCACGTACCGCCCCACTCTCTCTCGTGTTCTCGCCTCTCTTGTTACAGACCCTCGTGCCTCTCCTTCCTCCGTCGAGGTCCTCACTGCTGCTGTCACTGAATTTACTGCTACGCGTCGCCTTCACTACGCCACTCGAGTTGTGGCAGCTCATCCTGTCCGTCCTCTGTCCGCCGGGGGTGTGTGTGCCCTTGGCTGTGACGTCCTAGAGGACAAACAGTTTGAGCTAGAGTTCCTGGCAGCTGCTTCGCCTCATCTCTGTGCCATGCTGCTCACTCCTGAGGGAGACCCCGACGCTCCTGACATACCTACTCCTCGCACTTACGCTGAGGCAGTGTCAGGGCCTTGGGCCTCTCAGTGGAGAGCTGCCATGGACGCAGAGATGGCCTCCTACAGGTCCACAGGCACTTACGTTGACGAGGTTCCCCCCCCAGGGGCGAACATTGTTGACGGCATGTGGATCTTCAAGGTGAAGCGGCCGCCGGGATCTCCCCCAGTCTTCAAGGCACGCTACGTGGCTAGAGGGTTCAGTTAGCGCGAGGGGGTTGACTTCTTTCAGACCTTCGCGCCCACCCCGAAGATGACCACTCTTCGGGTGTTACTGCACGTAGCAGCGCAGAGAGACTACGAGCTACACTCTCTTGACTTCTCCACTGCCTTCCTCCAGGGCTGCTTACACGAGGAGATCTGGCTGCGTCATCCTCCGGGCTTCACTGGCACTTTCCCGCTTGGGACCCAGTGGAGCCTCAGACGACCGGTCTACGGTCTCCGCCAGGCACCCCGTGAGTGGCACGACACTCTCCGCTCTACTCTCTCCGACCTCGGGTTTGAGCCGTCTTCCGCCGACCCGTCGCTGTTTGTTCGTCGTGGCCGTACACCTTTCTTCGTCCTAGTCTACGTTGACGACTTGGTTTTTGCCACGGCCGACACAGCTGCACTGGCGGAGGTGAAGTCCGAACTGCAGAAGAGACACACCTGCACTGACCTTGGGGAACTGCGCCGCTACCTTGGCTTGCAGATCTCCAGGGACAGAGCCGCTCGCACCATCACTCTCACTCAGTCACACATGGTGCAGCAGGTTCTTCAGCGGTTCGGGCTTCAGGACTCTTCTCCTGCCCCCACTCCTCTTGCTGTAGACCACGGACTCACTGGGCCTTTTCCTGACGAGCCGTTCGAGCCCAGTGGTCCCTACGCAGAGGTGGTGGGCTGCCTCATGTACCTGATGACGTGCACTCGCCCGGACCTCGCCTTCCCCCTTAGCATCCTGTCTCGCTTTGTTGCGACTGGGAGACACCGTCCTGTTCACTGGGCGGCGGCTAAGAGGGTGGCGAAGTACCTTGGCGCGACATCAGGCATGGGGCTTGTACTTGGAGGGACACAGCCAGTTGTACTCACCGGTCACTGTGACTCTTCCTACGCTGACGACGTTGAGACTCAGAGGTCTACGCAGGGTTACTGTTTCAGCCTGGGTTCTGGAGCTGTTTCGTGGAGGTCTACTCGGTCCTCCTCTGTTGCGACTTCTATCGCAGAGGCCGAGATCTACGCTGGGGCCCTTGCTGCTCAGGAGCTACGCTGGTTGACCTTTTTGCTCACTGACCTTGGTGAGCGGCCGAGCTCTGCACCGACCCTGTTTGCTGACAACAGGGCGATGATTCTCCTGTGTCGTGAGCCTCGACTGGAGAGCCGAGTGAAGCACATCGACGTCAGGTACTTCCTCCTTCGAGAGTTGCAGAGACGCGGACAGGCTCGTCTGGACTTTGTGGCCTCCGAGGCCAACACTGCAGACATCTTCACCAAGGCCCTCCAGCCTTGTGACCACCGTCGGTTTTGTCCGCAGTGTGGCCTCGTTGAGACTGGGTCGAGTTGACTGCTGTAGGGTGCTCTTTGTCTGTTGCTTGCTTGTACCTTATATATATATATATATATTTGTTTGCACACTTTTGGACTGGCCTTGTGGCCCTTTCCTTGTGCTTAGATTAGGTGGTGACGTTGTGATCCACCCTGAGCTTTGCTTTCTTTCTCTTGTTTTTGACTGGTCTTGTGACCGTAGGTTGCTTGTTGTTGATTGGCCTTCCACACTTAGGCTATGGGGGTGTGTCAAATATTATAGCCTGTAGTGGGTTGGGCTATATGGGGTACAACTAGTTAGGGTTAGGTGATGTACCCCAAATCTGTCAATACAACGCATGCCCGCTGTAGTTCTCATTCTGACAAACCTTGACTTATTATAAGCGCATCAATAATTCGACTATTAAATCCTGATTAATACAGTAACGATTTCCCTTTTTGCAGCGAGTCCAGATCCGTTCCTACTTGTTTGACTCGCTCGAGGGCGAGCGATTCGCAGGAGAAGCGAAACGGCGTGAAGCTGACTGACTGTCAGCACATCGTTGGGAGGGGGGGGAGGGAAGATGGGCGCTGGAAACGACTGTCCTGTGCGTTGTGCGAGCGAATAAGGGGCAGGCGAGGGGGCTCGGGAACGACTGTGCCTCTGCGCTGCGATCAAGCGACTCCGTGCGACTGGCTTGTACATTGGTTCGGGGCGAGCTTGACACATCCCTCTGCGTTGTGACGTGTCCTCGCCCCTGTGCGGCGGCTGAAATCGCCCTCGCGCGATTCTCTGATGTGGGACGCCGTAATGATCTGATTCGATTGAAATTGCACGACAGAGATGTACATTTTGGTGAATTTAAAACACATTTCTGTAATTGTCATTTTATAAGCGCATGCGCTTATAAATCTGACTCAATTATAAGCGCACCCCCCCAAAAAACAATGTTTTATTATAAGCGCAGGTGCGCTTCTATCCGGGGTATTATGGTATAACAATTTGTACTTGTGTACCCTCATCCCAATGCTAGTGCACTTTCTCTCAACGCTCTAACAATCTACACCACTCCGTGCCCGTATGTCAACTGAAAGCAGAACAATAGAAACGCATGGTGGAATTACTACCGTATATGTACTGTACACATTTACCATACAAAGTCTGCATGCTTGCATCGCACCGAGACGGCAACATAGCAGGGTTGTCTGCTCAATGCAATCATTGCTTGCAGTTTCCATTGCAGCCGCTGCTGCTGTTGGCATTTACAGTTACTGGTCTAGTTTCCACGAGTGGCCCCTTGCAGGTTTGCGCCAAAGAGGTTCGCTCCTCCTAGCATCTGACCGCATGCAAACACGTCATGCAATAAGGCACGCAACACGGCATCCAACACGGCATGCAACACGGCATGCAACACAGCATGCAACACGGCATGCAACACGGCATGCAACACGGCATGCAACACAGCATGCAACACGGCATGCAACACGGCATCCAACACGGCATGCAACATGGCATGCAACACGGCATCCAACACGGCATGCAACACAGCATGCAACACGGCATGCAACACGGCATCCAACACGGCATGCAACACGGCATGCAACACGGCATCCAACACGGCATGCAACACAGCATGCAACACGGCATGCAACACGGCATCCAACACGGCATCCAACACGGCATGCAACACGGCATCCAACACGGCATGCAACACGGCATGCAATACGGCATGCAACACGGCATGCAACACGGCATGCAACACGGCATGCAACACGGCATGGAACACGGCATGCAACACGGCATGCAACACAGCACGCAACAACAACAGCCATGACAACGAGCAACGCTAGTGAGAGCTGCGTGTAGAAAAAAAGGCACACAGATTCTAACAAACATGTCATTTCACCCACTCAAACCACTCACTCACCCACCCACTCGTTCCACCCACCCACTCGTTCCACCCTGGACCCCACACATACTTCATGCCCTGTCTGCCTCTCTTCTTCCCATATGTTCTCTCCATTCTGCTGCATCCCCACATCTCCCACTCACCGTGTCTCTCAAGTCCACCCCTCGTAGGTATGCTCTCTGCAGATTCGCCCCCTCTAGGTTTGCCCCATTCAATTTGGCTCCCTGATGCACATGGGGAAGGAGAGCAGGCGAGAATACATGGGCGCGAGGGGGAGAAGGGGGGGAAAGGGATCAGGGAGAGGGGAAGAGATTGTGAAACACACGTGCAAGGAGGTAAAAACGAGAATTTGGAAGGGAGGAGGAGACATAAGGCAAGGACATGATGAAGGGTTGGCAAGAGGAATCTAGGAACGAGTGGGGGATGATAAGAAGAGGTTCTTAATGTGCTGCGCGCATACGTGTGGTTGTGGAGCGAGAAACGGATGATAGTACGCAGAAATAAGAATGGGGTATCGACATGCATGGCATAGCATGAACACACACATCCGCATGGATATGCGAAGGCACGAGCAATGAACAGAGCTCAGACGGAATTAATGGTGGCACGTGGATATGATGTGCATGACTTGCGGTGCTGATGAATGATGTGTGAATGGCATGCAGACAAAACGTACATGCCATCTGGATAGCACATGTACAGCAAGTGCATGGAAGTTGGATAGCATGTACATCACATGTGGATGGCATGTGATGTGAATGGCATGTGCATGGCATGCGGCACTCACTTTGAGATTAGCGCCTTCCAAATTAGCAGAAGACAGGTTTGCATTTGTCAGATCTGCGTTCTGCCACATACATAGGAGCAGCGGGCAGTGAGGAGAGGGGGGGATCCGTGAGGAAGAGGAAAGGAGAGAACTTCTGAGTCGACTCAAATCTGCGTTTGTCAAATAAGCAGAGGACAACTTGGCATTTGTCAAATCTGCGTTCTGTGACATAGGAGCAGCAGATGAGTGAAGGAATGAGGGGAGGATCGAGGACAAGAGGGGATGAGGAGTACTGAGGTGACAAGGTGGAGAAGGAGCGAGGGGAATCAGCCAGGAGAAGAGAGAAGAGAGGGGAACGAGTGAAGGGAAGGCAGGAAGGGAGGGGTTGGTAATGGGGTTTGTTGGCGTGATGGGATGGGCCGAGAAATCAAATCATGAGAGTCAGTGACAGGGTGAAGGTGGCATTGCGGCTGGTTCAACAGAGAGAGAGCGGGGGTAAAGCCACAAGGAAGGCACCGAAAGGTGAAAGGAGTGGAAGAGGCTGAAATGCGGGATGCGTGGTAGGAAGAATGGGGTGTGGGGGAGAGTGGGAGTGTGAGAAGGTGGGGTGGGGAGGAGAGAGGTGGGTGAAAGAGGTTGAATTTCAGATGTGAGCAGTGAGAAGTGGGCAGCGAGCACCCTGCAACAAGTGCTGTGGTAAGGTAACCAGTGCAATGAGGTGGGGTAGTAGGGGATGGCTTTTGAGGCGCCTCAAAAGTAAGGTAACCAGTGCAATGAATGAGGTAGGGTAGTAGGGGATGGAGGAGTCACCTGCAAGTGCGCTGATCGTAGGTCTGCCCCACACAGACTCGCATCCACTAAACACGCATCTGCATAGACACAGAGAGGGAACAGAGAGAGCATGCAGAGCACAGAAAGAGCATGCAGGGAGCACACAGAGAGCATGCAGAGCACAGAAAGAGCATGCAGGGAGCACACAGAGAGCATGCAGAGAGCACAAAGAATGAAAATCAATAGGGTACAAAGAGAATGCAAAGCACTTGGTTGCTTGGCTGTTGGGTTGCATATACTAGTTGGTTGCATGGTTAGCAGCTTAGTTAGTGGGTTAATGGGTTAATTCGTTTGATGGTTGCAACGAACTCAACACCCCACGCAAGACCCCACGCAAGACCCCACACAACATCCCACGCAACGCCCCACGCAACGCCTCACTCAACGGTCCGCACCAGAGACAAACAGGGGTGGCAGAGAGTGCAGCGATCCAATTCCACCAACGAACCAGAACCACTCTGACAGATACCCCATACAGGGTCCATATGGAGCCACGAAGGGCATGCACACACACAAACACTGAAGCCACTTACAAGAACACAGGGGGAACAGGTCCACGGTCCACCAGAGGGTGTAAGACCCAGACAGGGGGAACGGGTCCACCAGAGGACTGCAACCAGGTTCGGCAGCTCATGACTCGCCCCAGACAGTCGCCCGAGAACCAGGAGGAATCAAGCAAGCAAGCATGGGGGCAAAGCAGCAGCTATGGAGGCAGCAGCTCATGAGCAGAGCAGAGCACAGCATCAGAGCAGCATGTGGCTGTTGCGTATGCATGCATGCATGAATGAATGAATGCATGAATAAATGAATGCATGAGTGAATGCGTGAATGAATAAATGAGGCAAGCTGGGCGGCACGGCACGGCACACCTTGGAAGTTGGCACTGGCGAGAGTGGCGGCAGAGAGCACAGCGGCGCGCAGCGTGGCCTTCTCAAAGTCGCACTCCTTGAGCGTGGCATTGTGGAAGTTGCACCCGTCCGCCACCGCCTCCTGGGGGAGAGGGGGGAATAGGGGCAAGGGGAGAGTGCAAAGCGGGGCATGCCACGGGGCGCATAGGCAGTGCAGGGGGCATAAGTGAGGGGCGCAAAGTCGCACTCCTTGAGCGTGTCGTTGTGGAAGTTGCACCTGTCCGCCTCCGCCTCCTGGGGGAGGGATAAGGGGAGGGGGGAATAAGAAAAAGGCGGAGGTGGAGAGTGCAAAAAGCGGGGCATAATATGGGGCGCACAGGCGAGGCAAGCGGCGGCAAAGATGACACGGGGAAACGAGACCAAGTGTAGGGACAGGAAGAGGGGAAGAAGGCGATAAATTGCGAGGGAGGGAGGTAAGGAAGGGCGGGATGACGAAAGGAAGGGAAGCAAGGGCAAGACGTGCAGGTGCGATGGTGAGAGGAGGGCGGGGGAAGGCTGGGGAGGGAGATGGGAGGGATGCAGCGGGGGGGACTCACGCGGAATAGTGCGCACTGCAGGTTGGCCCGTGAGAAGAATGTGCCGACTAGGCGCGAGAAGCTGAAGTCCACTCCTGATAGATCCTGATGCGCGATTGCGCATGGGGGACGGGAGGGGAATATGGCGCGCAGGACATGGGGAGGAGAGAGGAGGGGAGGGGAATGGAAGGAAGTGGAGGGGAGGGAAAAAGAGGGAGGGGAGGGAGAGGAGGAGAGGAAAGGAGAGAGGGGGACAAGAGGGAGGGGAAGGGGAAAGGACAGGGGAGGAAAGGTGGTGTCAACAACGGGAGAGAAGGTGGAGCTTTGTTAGGATTTATGCTGATAGGCTGATGGGAGATGGGAGGAGAGGGGGCGGAGGGGAGGGAAGGTAGTGGGGGGAAGGGGAAGGGTGGGGGGATTGGGAAAGGAGGGGAGGGGAGGGGAGGGGTGGGGAGGGGAGGGGAGGGGCGGGGAGGGGAGGGGCGGGGAGGGAGGTTGCTAGCGATTCCAAGACCAAGGCAATCCATGGAGAACAAAGAGGGGCGGACACCAGATTTGAACTACGGAAACAGCAAACATTGCAAGCACAGATGGAAGGTGGAAGGTGCAACGGAGAAGGCAGGGGTTGAGAGGCGGGAGACGGGAATTCGGAGGTGTGGGGAGTTGTGGAGAGGTGTGGAGGGGAGCGGAGAGGTGTGGGGAGACTTGGGGAGGTGCAAATAGGGGTGAGGCGGACCAGTTTGGAGAGGTTGATGCCGCTAAGGTTGACTCCTCGTAGCCGCACTCGCTTGCTCTGAATGGCCATGATCACCTGGCAGACACATGCACATAGACGGTCAGGTGCGGTGGGTGTTGGAGGTGTTGGTTGGTGGTGGGTGGGGGTGGGTAAGGAGAGAGGGAACGGACAAGGGGGTTATTTGGAGGGGTTGTGGAGGTTGGAAGAGGAGAGGGTAGTGGAGTGGAGGGATGGTGTGATGCGAGACAAGCACGTGAGTGGGGATGAACGGATATCTTTTTAAATACGTTGGAAAGAGGATGAGGGAAGTGAGAGAAAGAGGAAAATGGGGAAAGGGGGCAAGGAGAACGAGGAGGGGGGAGGGTGGGATGGGATGCACAAATTCATACCACTCCCCACATGCCAAGGCCCAAGGCGATGCAATGGGCAGCACCAGCACGCATGATAAGAAAAGGAACACAGTGTGGCACGGCGCAGCAGAGCATGGCACTGCAGGGGTAGCGCACACATGGCAAGAAGCAGCGGGTGTGGCATGGGGTGGGATGGCAGCGCAGAGGGTAAGGTAAGGGTAACAGCAGGCACATTCAGTGAGAGAGAGCGAGAAGGTGAGAGCGAGAGAGTCTGAGAGAGAAGGATTGGAGAGGAGAGGTGAGGAGAGGAGAGGAGAGGAAAAGGGCGGAGAGAGGGACCTCTTTGCGTGTGAGCTCGGGCGCGTCATCGTCCTCCACCTTGAGCGTGGCCACTAGCTGCGCATGGAACTCCTGCTCCCATGCCATGCCATGCCATGCCATGCCATGCCATGTGATATCCCCATGCACCGCCCACACCGCACATGGAGCACCGTTAGTGGAGGGGACGTGCAGCGACGTGGGGAAGAGAGGAATGGTACAGGAAGGGGAGGGGAGAGATGGGGAGAGGGAGAGGGGAGAGGTGAGACCGGGAGATGGGGAGAAGGGAGAGGAAGACGGGGAGAGGGGAGGGAGGAGAGAGGGCAAAGGGGGCAAAGGGAAATGGGGAGAGGGGAGGGGGGAGAGGGAAGAGGGTAGAGGGTAGAGGGGAGAGGGGAGAGGGGAGAAGGGAGAGGGGAGAAGGGAAAGGAGAGATCGGGTAGGGAGGAGCGGCAAAAAGGGTATCATTAAGCAGTGAGAGTCTCTATCGATTGTTGCTTGTGTTGCAGGCTAGGAGGCAGAGGCAGAGGCAGAGGCAGAGGCAGTGGCAGAGGCAGAGGCAGAGGCAGTGGCAGAGGCAGTGGCAGTGGCAGTGGCAGTGGCAGAGGCAGTGGCAGTGGCAGTGGCAGTGGCAGTGGCAGTGGCAGAGGCAGAGTCAGTGGCAGAGGCAGAGGCAGTGGCAGTGGCAGTGGCAGTGGCAGTGGCAGTGGCAGAGGCAGAGTCAGTGGCAGAGGCAGAGGCAGTGGCAGTGGCAGTGGCAGTGGCAGTGGCAGAGGCAGTGGCAGTGGCAGTGGCAGTGGCAGTGGCAGTGGCAGGCAGTGGCAGTGGCAGTGGCAGTGGCAGTGGCAGTGGCAGTGGCAGAGGCAGTGGCAGTGGCAGTGGCAGTGGCAGTGGCAGAGGCAGAGTCAGTGGCAGTGGCAGAGGCAGTGGCAGTGGCAGTGGCAGTGGCAGTGGCAGTGGCAGGCAGTGGCAGTGGCAGTGGCAGTGGCAGAGGCAGTGGCAGTGGCAGTGGCAGTGGCAGTGGCAGTGGCAGAGGCAGAGTCAGTGGCAGAGGCAGAGGCAGTGGCAGTGGCAGTGGCAGTGGCAGTGGCAGTGGCAGAGGCAGAGTCAGTGGCAGAGGCAGAGGCAGTGGCAGTGGCAGTGGCAGTGGCAGTGGCAGTGGCAGTGGCAGTGGCAGTGGCAGTGGCAGTGGCAGTGGCAGGCAGTGGCTGTGGCAGTGGCAGTGGCAGTGGCAGTGGCAGAGGCAGTGGCAGTGGCAGTGGCAGAGGCAGTGGCAGTGGCAGTGGCAGTGGCAGTGGCAGAGGCAGAGTCAGTGGCAGTGGCAGAGGCAGTGGCAGTGGCAGTGGCAGTGGCAGTGGCAGTGGCAGGCAGTGGCAGTGGCAGTGGCAGTGGCAGTGGCAGTGGCAGTGGCAGAGGCAGTGGCAGTGGCAGTGGCAGTGGCAGTGGCAGTGGCAGTGGCCGCCCACCCACCCACCCACCCACCCACCCACCCACCCAGCCAGCCAGCCAGGCAGCCAGCCACCCAGCCAGCCAGGCAGCCAGCCACCCAGCCAGCCAGGCAGCCAGCCAGGCAGCCCCCCAGGCAGCCGCCCAACCCCAGCGCACCCCGAGTTGGAAGTACTCGGCCTCGCGCATGAGCTCGTGGAAGAGCGCCACGTCCAGCAGCGGCACCGCACCGTCTCGCAGCCAGTTGAGCACGTGGCAGAAGTGCCTCCCGTCCCGGTCTATGAACACGGATGACTGTGCGGTGCGGAGGGGTATGTGGGGGTGGGTTGGGGTGGGGGCGGATGCGGGAGGATGGGGGAGAATGGAAGAGGATGGTGGGGGATGGCGGGGGATGGAGGGAATGGCGCATGATTGGGGGGGATGGAGGGGGATGCGGGGGGTTGAGAAACGATGGGAAGCGAGGGGGGGAGGTGGGAAGGAGGAGGTGAGAGGAGACAAGGTGAAAAGATGCGAGTGGTTCACGGGGGATGAGAGGGTAAAGAGAGTGGGGAGAAGAAGAGGATTAGAGAGTCATCCTGCCAAGGACAGTCACGCAGCATAAGTAATTTCGTTGCCAGTGGGGCGGGGAGGGGAAGGGCGGAGAGAGGATAGGGAAAACGGGAGTGGGGGCGGGGGGGTAGTGGGTGAGGTTTGCGCGCAGCTGGAAGGGCAAGAGGAAAAAGATAGATTGAGGGAACGCGAGGTGGGAAGGCAGGCAGAGAGGGAGGTAGACAGGCAGGGAGGCAAGCAGGCAGGGAAGCAGCGGCAGGGACGCGTGTGGTTAGGCGTGCACCTTGTTGGCGGTGTCGTAGTGCAGGGTGTGCCGGCCGCTGAACATGGCGGCCAGCATGGAGTCGCTGTCGCGCTGCGTCACCGTCTCCACCGTCGTCTCGTAGCACGTGCCGCCTGCCGCCGCGCGGAAAGGGGAGGGGGTGGGGAGGGGGGGAGTAAGGGGGAGGCAGTGGAATGCGGGGAGAGGGGGGAAAGAGGAATGGGAGAATAGAGAGGAGAGGAGTGTTTTGAATTTCAAGGGAGGAGGGAATAAGGGGGTGATGGAATTCAGGTTGCGTGTGGTCGAGCCGTGCAAGAAAGCACTGGACCATCTTCCCGTCCAATACTGCTGTGCTTCACGCGGCATTGCGGCTCTCGCTCGCTCTCTCACCATGCTCACTATGCTCCACCACTTACCACGCTCCAGAGTTCCAACTAACTCACCCACGTTAATGCACACGCGCGACGACCCCACTTCTCTCTCCCCGCAGTCTCCGCCGCCCTCCATGCCGTGTGCCATCCGCCAAATCCTGCCGCCACCCTACCGCCCGAGAATCCTGGCAGCCACCCACTCGATTGGCAGTAGAACCTAGCCAGACAAACGGCCTAATTGGCGGTTTCAGGCCTTCGCAGCGTTACGCTGGCGGAATCAATTCGTGGACGACAACAAAATGACGAAAACGCCGTGGAGTATCAGAGGCATTCGCGAACGGAGGTCGCTAGGCTGGGATACTATCTTGGTAAAGAGTCGCTTCGTGGCGAAGGAGGGTTAGAGGAGGCACGAAAGTGGAATATAAGAGCGACGGTTTGGCCCGCCAAGGAAGGTGAAATGCAAACGAGGAGGAGAATGGATGTAGAGGAGGGCCAGGAAACCGACGAAAGCGTGAAACTACAAGAGGAACTATGGGAAGTCTAAGGAATAGGGACTAACAGAGAGTTCGTGTGCCAACAGCATTTTTCATAAGTGAAGCATCCACTCCAGCAACTCCCCAGCCAACTTGGGTTGGTGAGAAAATGTGAGCAGCGAAATACCCACTATTCGCACGGAAGAAACACGTGTACGTGTAACATCGCCGACTGAAAATAATCGCAACAGCCAGGAAAGAGTGGGTGGATGGGAAAGTTGGAGGATATTGACGGGGAGCGTTGACCATTGGTGGTGTGATGTGGTGTGGCGAGGCTTCTTTATCGGTAAGGCACATTGTCGGTAATGAATGGCTCAGTATCTGGGAGGAGGTGCTGCTAACAGTTGGGTATAACTTATTTCACAAGGTTCAACTAGTTTTGAATCAAGTTCTTGCACCAATAAAATACTAAACGATAGAAAATAAAATTTATTGTTACTGGATAAGTAATTTATTATATTAAGCGGGCTATATTCTCATATTACAAATCAATGGATTGCAGGTGACTAGAAATATGGGATCATACATACTCATGTCATCTGAAAAAATACCAATAAAAAATCAGCACCATGAAATGAAATATCGATAGCAGAATAACTATATAGCTTGCAATAGCTTTACAAGTTTTGAGCTAAGAATTATTTCTGTATTTGAATGTAGGTAATATTTATTCAGAGAAGCTCTGATCACTAGCGTATCGTCACTAGAACACCCTTCCAATTCGCTTCGGTTTCGCATCGCAAGCCCGTGGTGAATCCAGTCACCCGGGCATTCGGCGAAACGGATTGGTGGAGACGACGGCACCTGATTCGTTCTCAAAATTCCGCATTGGCGACAAGATCGCTTCAGCGGATAAGGCAGTGCCTGGTCAGCATTCGATCAGGGAACCCAGACACTCCCCCCAGCAGGGAGGGCTGCTCTGAAGGAAAACCCAGGAACCAATTTTACGCTCAGCAAGGCCAATCTGTGAACTTCGCCACCAGAGGAACCCCAGGATCCCAAACCCTTCCTGAAAATCCCTCCAGCCTTCAGCCATGGCCGCTGCCGTCGCTAGCCGTGCTCTCCTTGCCGCTCCGGCTGCTGCCGTTGCCAAGGCTCAGACCAAGAGGGCTTTCTTCGGCAACATTGCTGGTCTGGCACCCGTTGCCCGCCGCTCCACCCCCGTGGTGAAGTCCCTGGCCGTCAAGGCTGAGACCAACTACCAGGTCATCGAGCCCCTCAATGGCGACCCCTTCGTCGGTGGCCTCGAGACCCCCGTGACCTCTGCTCCCCTGGTCGCCTGGTTCCTGTCCAACCTCCCCGGCTACCGCACTGGTGTGAACCCCCTCCTCCGCGGTGTGGAGGTCGGCCTTGCTCACGGCTACCTCCTCGTCGGCCCCTTCGTCTGCGTAAGTTAGCGTTCTCGTTGCTTCTTGCTTGGTATTTTTTAATCGCGCGTCTTACATGCCTTTCTAATGTGTACTCCGCTCATTTCTTGGCTTCGTGCAGACTGGTCCTCTCCGCGGCACTGAGGTTGGCCAAGTTGCCGGTACCCTCGGCGCTGCTGCTCTGGTCGCCATCCTGTCCATGTGCCTGACCGTGTACGGCATTGCCTCGTTCAAGGAGGGCGCTCCCTCCACCGGCTCCACTCTGACTCTCAGCGGCCGCACGAAGGAGGCTGACAAGCTCCAGGTATTCATCAGTTCCTTGATAGTACTCTAATCTCATATGTTGTCGTTCTTGTGCTGGCGAACTTCGATTCTGCATTTGCTGATGCTGTCGTTCTCGGTGATCTTGCAGACTGCTGACGGCTGGGCTTCATTCGCTGGCGGTTTCTTCTTCGGTGGCCTGTCGGGTGTCGCCTGGGCATACATCCTGCTCTACGTTCTGGACCTGCCCTACCCCGTCAAGTAAATGGAGTAGTACTTTGTATCTAGAAATGATATGAACATAGTGAATTCATTTTTTACAATGACTCTGGATATACGAATAACTACACGAAATGCAACCGTTACAAATAGCGAATTAGCACGATTCTCCACAAGTTGTAAATGGAGCCTGTACAAAAAACCAAATGATGCAGGGTTACATTCTTCCCTTCGCAACAGTCAGTAACAACCCACAACACGAATCATGCGATAGCTGCACTTCGCCCTTGACATGACAACATCACATTTTCAGTGCCAAGATGAGAAACATAATTGCACCGATTTGGGCATGAGTCGGGTCGTGCCGCCCGTCGCCATTACACGGCAGCCGCAGGGCCTCGGGGCTGGTGGCGCGTCGAGCCGTGCAGCACTGCGGAGGAGAAGCGCTCAGCTAAAAGCCTTGCGAGCAGTCGTGTTCCTCGTGCTGCTCGCGGCTTTCATACACCTGCTAGTAAGCAGTCCTCTGCCATACTTTGTCTTGTTTCTACCACGGCTAGCGTTGCTTACGCGAATGCGGCCAGGTCGTGAACCGTCGCGCTCATACTAGAAGAACCTGACCACCTCGTACGTTCTGTTTGCTAAAAACCGCGTCCATTCCGCAGGTGACGTCTCGCAGCCGAAGCGCGTCGCTGGCAGCTGAAGTGCTTAAGAACCTACATCGAGGCTCCTCCGCAAACCCTGCCAATGTTTCGCTAATCTCGGCTCCCTCCCAGCAGCAGCAGCAGCCCGTGCAAGTATGTTAAGCTATGAAGAGTGGCGAAAGCTCATGACATCCATTATCTTTGTGCGCTGTACCACATTCCCTCGGTTTGTCCTCAAACGCTTTAAATACATATCATCTCATCCCTTCGTTTCGTGCTATTCATTCCGTTTCTTCCTGGTGCCCATTTCCTCACCCAATGGGCCATTTTAACTCTCTTCTTTTCCCTTTCTTTCCCAACCAAACCTACAGAAACAACTGTTGCTCCCAAACCTGCCTCGATTTCTGCCAGGTGAGGTTTCTCACCCGTTTCTTTGCCAGCCCCCTGGTGTTTTGCGTTCACTGTGCGCCCCCTCCCTTCCTCTCACACATGCACTCACGCTGTCTCTCTCCCTCAGTACTACCCCGTGCTGCCTTGCTCCTCTTGCCCGCCCACCTATCGTCCAGTCTCCCAGCGTCCATCTTCCGGCGACTCACATTGCCTCCTCCCCTCCCAGCGTCCACTCTCTTCCCAGCAGATGAGCCAGCCGCTGGGGTTTCTGTTCCGTCAGCCCCTTCCACGAGAGAAGGTAGCAGCGCAGCAACATCACTAGCAGCTGCCGGGATTGATGAAAGCACCACCACAGCTGGTACTGAAAGTACTGGAACCGCTCACAGCTTGGATAATGGCAGTAACAGCAGCAGCATTACCCCGGTGTTAGGGTTAGGAGGAGAGCGTGTGCGTGCAGTGCTGCCACCGAGGGACCTTGCACGCGAGGAGACGAGAAGGGAGGAGACAGGGAGGGGAGGATTTGTGGGTCGAGTAGATGGTGAAGGTGGAGTGACAGAGGAAGGAGTGCGTGTGGTGGATGCTGCTGGGGAGATAGGTGCTGGGCAAGGAGAGGAGGGAGAGGGAAGGGAAAGAGAAGAGGAAGGAGGAGGAGGAAGGGTAGGAGGAGTACCAGGAGGAAGGGAGCGAGGTGCGTTGGAAGGTTCGAAAAAGAAGACAAAGGCAGGGAGAGAAGGGCGGAAGAGGGTGAAGAAGCGGAGAGTGAGAAGGATTCGTGTGAGGACAAAGAAGAGGAATAGAGGGAGGATGCAAGGAGTGGAGGTGGAAGGAGATGAAAGAGACGAGCGCACAGGTGGTGGGAGAGCAGCAGCAGCAGTGTCAGCAGAGGCAGAGAATTTGGATGCTGATGTTGGAGAAGCAGTGGTGGTGGGTGGAGAGCGGCAGAATGAAGATGGCCGGAGCTCTGGCGTTGGTGGTGGTGGTGGTGATGCTGATGGGGAGAGAATAAATGCTGATGAAGATGAGGAGGGGAGTAGCTCTGTGAAAAAAAATATGAGGGAGATTGAGGAGGATGAAGGGAAGGAGGAAAATATGGGGGAAGAGAAGGAGGAATTAAAAGGGGAAGGGAAGGAGGATGAAGAGGGGGAAGGGAGGGAGGAAGGGAAGGTGCAAGGGACGGACGAGGGAAAGGAGGACGAAACGGAGGAAAGGAAGGAGGACAAAAAGGAGGAAGGGAAGGATGATGAGGAGAGGGAGGAAGGGAAGGGGGAGGTAGGGGAGGGTAGAGAGGAGGTTGCAGCAAGGGGTGATGACAGGAATGATCCAGCAGAGGAGGTGGAGGAGGAGGGGGAAACGAAGCATGAGAATAATACTACTACTACTAGAGGTGAGGGATCTAGTAATGAAGGGGAAGGAGGGGTTGATGTGGATCATGATGAGGAAGAAGACGGCAAATGAAGGGAAGAATGAAGTGTCAAGGGGTCGCCAGAAGGGGGTTGCAATGCGAGCTCGAGTTCCTAAGAATACAAGGAGAGGGTGAGGTGAGGAGGGAAACGGTGAGGAGAAGTGAGAGGAGATGGAGGAGGTAGAGGAGGTGGGAAGGTGAGGAGGTGGAGGCGGAGAGGAGGGGCCATGGTGAAGGGAATCGTGGTGCACATGAGGCTGAAGTGGAGGCAGCGAGTTGACTTCAGTGTCCACAGATGCAGCTACAAGGTCTCAGATCCAGACCTGGTTCAAGCCCAGGCCCTGTCCCTGTCACTATCCCAGGCACAGACCCACGCCCAGATGCAAATGCAGGGCTAGGTGCATATGCCAGCTCCGGTGACAATGCCGGCTTAGGTGCAAACGCAGGGCGAGGCTCTGCTGCTTGCATTCGAAAGCAAGTAAGAAAAGGGGGAGAGGATGAGAGGATGGCATGGGAAGTCAATGGCGCTGGTGAGAAGGGGTTATTATGGTATTTGGCAGGTGAGAGAGACGGATGGGCTAGGTGGAGTGCGGTGATTATTTGGCAGGGGTTTGGGGTGTGCGAGGGATGGGCAAGGAGGAGAATATGCATAGAATGTTGTTTCATAACGCACGGTGTCATCATTTATGCTTTTGTAAAATTTGGGCATTAAATTGCTGTGATGTGAAACTCCTGTTGGTGGGTAATGATAAAGCATGTTGTGAAGGTACGGTACCAGTCATAGTGTGAGGGCTGACAGCAATGCTCCTTTTTTGTCCCGTATTTTGTTGTGGAAAGAGAGGTGGAAACGGTTTGCGTTTTAATTCTCTGAAATTGATTGCAACTTGATGGTAGTTTGTACGCAGGTTCAGCTTGGTATTGAAATGGTATTGCATTATTTTAGTTGTCCCAAGCACAACGTATGTGCGCTGCTTCAATTGGTGTACCGCAAGTCCAAAACATACGGTAAACGTTACACTGAGAAATGCAATACCCCTCTGCTTGCCCCCCAACACCCCAACCCACACCTCTCTCCAGCCAATCCCCTCGCTGCGCCTTATGTTTTCCCGCTAGTATTTTCCAGTTTTGTCATCCCCACCGCCGCCACCTCCGCAACCGCCGGAACCGCTGCAAACCGCGCGCGCCGCCACTGTGAATCAGGCCCGCATAAGCGTGGTCATGATGAGGGTTTCGGCGGGCCCTGCCGCTTCAGCATGCAGCCGTGACTGCGCTCCGCGCGTGCCACTGCGACCCGCGCTGCCCCCCTCCGCCCGCGCCTATGCTCTCGCGTCGCCTGCCCATTTGCGCTGCGCCTCCGCCTGCGCTCCCCGTGGAATTTCCGCGACTTTCTCCTCCGGCGGAAGGTTTCCGCAGCAGCTGCAGGAACAGCAACAGTGCCGGAAACAGCCCGCCTCCGCTTCCCCGCAGGCCGGCTTGCGCTCCACTCCATCAGCCAAGCCCTTCGCGCCGGCGTGCGCAGATGTGATTTCCCCTGCCTCCGCTGCTTCCGCGGTCGCAAAGGCGTTCCGTGACGCGCGCTTCATTGCCGGCGCGGCCTCCCTCGCGGTAGTAGCGGCTGCGGCAGCGTCGGGAGCGGCGGGGCCGGCGGACGGGGACACGGCGAAACCGGCGGCGGAGGTATTGCCTTCCATCTGAGACGTATAGATTTTCTGAGGCGTCTAAATAGATCGTGCTCCTTTGCTATGTGATGCACCGCATGCCCCGACGCTTCTTGCCTTGCCTGCTTGTTCCACTTGCTTTCCGTGGTTGTTGCTGCTCCCCGTCTTCCGCTCTTTCCCTGCTCTCTCTGATCTGCCTATCCCCGCAGCATGCTTGCTGCGCGCTTCTCGCTCATCTCATCCATCCCCGTGCGTGATTCTAACTCTGGCAGGCTCCTGCGACGGCGGCAGCTGCAGCGGATGAGTCCTCTGGCAGCTGGTGGGACAGGTGGAAGGTGAGTGAGTGGTTGGGTGCTGTGGTGTGGCGAGTGCATGAGGCAATCAGCAAGAGTGTGAGTGATTCGAGGAGTCAATTTTGAGAATTTTCAGTGGTATGGCGAGGGCAGGGAGTGGCGAGCAAGAGAGTGAGTGATTGTATTCTGTTTCAACATTTCTCACAAGATGGGATCGTTGCAAATGACAAGATCCTTGACGAAAGTGGTATGGCGAGGGCAGGGGGTGGTGAGAGAGAGAGTGAGTGATGGTATGCTGTTCCACCATACAGCGCAGGATGGGATTTTTGGAAATTAGGTGGCGAAGCTGGGTCTGGTCTTTGGAGCAGCACTCCCCTACCCCCTCCCTCCCCCCTTCCTCCCTCCCGCATCTCCTCTCCTTTCCCTCTCCCCCCTCCACTCTCCTTTCCCCACCCTCGCTCGCACACTGTATACTCTTCCTCCTGCCCCGTCACCTGCCTCCTGCGCCTGCCTGCCACCACGCTCAAAGCGCTGCAGGCGACTCAAAGCTCTTCCTCCTCCTGCCATTCCGTGCCCTGCCGTGCCCTGCCATGCCGTGGCATGCCATGTCACGTGTTGTGTGCCTGCCTGCCTGTGTGCGTGCAGGCGCGGTCGGCGGGACTCAAGGAGAAGGTGGCGAAGCTGGGGCTGGCGGCAGTGCTGGCGTACGGGCTGTTTGACGGCATCACCTACACCACCTTCTTTGTGCTCGCCTTCCTCGGCTACGAAAAGAGCACCGGACTCAACCCCGCTGCCAACCTCAAAGCTCTCCTTGGGGTGCGTGGGTCCCTGCGTGATGTGATCAGATCAGAGTCTGTTGAAGAGTGTGTGCGTGTGTGTGGGTGTGTGTGTGTGTGTGTGTGTGTGTGTGTGTGTGTGTGTGTGTGTGTGTGTGTGTGTGTGTGTGTGTTGTTTCCTCGGTTGTTGTTGTTGTGGTGGTAGTAGTTGTGGTCTGTGTCCTTGTTTGTGTATGTTTGTTTGCCCCAGTATCTGAGCGTTGGGCTCGGTGCACTGGTTTCCTGTCCGTCTGCTGTCTGGGATTGGTTTTGTCACCTTATCCTTAATCATTTTTCCATTTCGTTTTCCTTTTCCCGTTTCATTGTATGCTTGATTTCCTTGCGTGTGATCTGCAGATTGTGGTTCTGATGTGGACGGGGAATAATGTGACGCGGCCATTTCGAGTGGCAGGGGCTGCAGCCGTGGCTCCATTTCTTGACAAGGCGTTGAAGAAGTTCCAGGAGAAGCTCAACCTCCCCAACCAGTTCCTGGCTTTTGCTCTTGTTGCAGGTACCTTCGGAGCTATCTGCCTTTCTGTGGTTGGGCTTCTTATCCTTTCACGCATAGGGGGTTAGTTTTGGTAGAAAACAATAGATTCTATTACAGCTAGAGTTAAGCATGCTTAGAGGGGTGGAAGTAATGGTGCACATCTTTTAACCAGTGAAGGGTATGCATCTTAGGTTTCAAAGATCATATACCAATTGGACTACGAAGGCGACAATGATGCCGATCACTATACCGGAGCACATCTTCTCGACATATATTTTGCGACTCGGAATTCGGTATGGGGCCAAACCAGCCGCAGCTCCGACATGAAGACCGAACCACACTGTTCACACGTCAGGCTGTCGGTCACTGGCTTGGCCAGACCAGATCCTGCCACGTCACACGCCTTCCACGACCCATTCATGGCACACCGCGCCGCACCGACTTTGCATAGTTCAAAGTTAGATGCATCTCCCAGTAAGCACCGTACGTTATCGTACCCTAACGTTACAGCATGCTATGGAACGAACTATATACTATACAACCGATACAGCACAGCTAGGTTAAAAAATTGTAGCTCTGCTCGATAGCCTAGGTTCGGGAACGACAGGGCCTGTGCTGCCCTCGCCCAGCCACGACCACCAAACCACACCGAGAAAACGTACTTGTTTCGAATCCGGTTACCACGATAAAAGACCCAGAACATGCTCAATACCGTCTAGGAACCAACGGAAAAGTTCTGAACGATCGTTAAATATTCCTGGGTGGTGTACAACACCCCAGTCCAGCAAGGAACTGCTTGCGTCTAATATCAGCTCCAACAGCCATCCCGCCGTATCGCCTCCAGGTGAAGCCGTCCCCCTCAAGCCGTCGACGAAAATGAATGTATGATTTGATTTCCATCAGGCGCATCATCGACGGCGTATATCACTATTATTATTGATTGCATCCAGCAAGAAGCACGCTAGCACCCTCAGACACCGAGCCTATCGTTATTATGTCCGCCTGAACAGTCGCCGGGACGCACATTTCCTGCCAGCCACACCTCCACAATCCTATAAGCCAGAGGCCCATCCCAAAAAGCTTCCAGGTTTTTTTCTCGTACCGTGTCTTATTGTGTCCCGTCTAACTTTATCGCATCCATTCCCGCCGGTATGTCTGGGCGCGCCAATCGCGCCTCCGCGGATCCCCCCAAGATCCCCGAAAGCCTTCTCAAGGCGCTTCACCGCGGCGAAGCTCCGCCTTCCGCTGGTCCCGCCCCGCTCGCGGAAAGCGCAGGCGGGTCCGCGAAGCCGGGGGGAAGTGGCGGCGGAGCACTATCAAAGCAATCGACTCCAAAAAAAACTTCTCTCGAGCGCAAGCGTTCCGCCGCACGCGCGTCTTCCCCTGATACTTCCGCCGCATCCGCTGCGGCTCCGCCTTCCGCCCCCCTCGCCTCCGCCGCGGGAGGCGCAGGCGAAGCTAAAGGGTCGGGGGAAGAGGCGGCGGCGGCAGCAGCGGCGGCAGCAGCAGTAGAAAATACTGCAGAAGAGGTGACAGGAGTGGGTGGTGGTAGTAATGGTGCAGAGGAAGGGGCAAATGCAAAATGTGCTGTGAACGAAGTGACAGATGCAGCAGCAGCAGCAACAACAACAGCAGCGGCGGCAGCAGGGGCAGCAGGGGTTCCAGAAGCAAGTGGTGGTGGAGTGGAGGCTTCAGGTGTTGCTGCAGAGACAGCAGCAGAAGGAGCAGCAGATTCGGCAGCCGGAACAGGAGCTGCATCCGAAGGCACAGGAGCAGCAGCAGGAGCAGCAGGGGCAGCAGCAGGGGCAGCAACAGGGGCAGCAGCAGCAGCAGCAGCAGCAGGAGCAGCAGCAGGGGCAGAAGCAGGAGCAGCAGCGCCAGCAGCAGCAGAGGCTGCTCCGACGCCATCTCAACGACAACCAGCGGTACCACCCCCCGCAAAGGCAAGCAGCACACGTTCTGCCAATGCAGCATCTGCAGCAACAGCCACAGCAGCAGCGACAGCAGCAGCGACAGCAGGGGCGATAGGCATTGCTGCGAGCAGCAGTATCAGTAACAGCGGCAGGGGTGGTGCCGGTGCCAGTGCCAGTGCCAATGCCAATGCAAGTGGCAGCGATGCTGGCAACAACGGCATGGTATCAGGGCGCAGCAGCGGCAAGGAGGCTCTAGTGAATATCCACGAGCCGTTCCTGGCGCCCGCTCGCCCCAAGAGGAAAGGCCTCACCTGCCGCAAGGTGCTCTTCATTCTCTGCGGCCTCTTTGCCCTCGCCATCCTAGCTGGTCTCGTCGTGGGGATTCTGGTCAAAACAGGCGTCATGAGCACTGGTGGCAGCGGCGACAGCAGCAACAGTGGCAGCAACAACACCAGCAGCAGCAGCAGTGGCAGTGGTGGTGGCGATGGCAGCAGTGGTGGCAGCGGTGGTGGTGATGTGTCGGTTATGACGGCGTCGGGTATTGAACCCGGGGCTCTGCTGGGCGGAGTGTGTGACTCGTCGCAGCCGCCTGTCATCCCCCCTGGTGCTGCCACGATGCCTTCCGTGTGGTGGACGACTAGCCTGCGCAACAACAGCAAGGTGTGTGCTTGCTTGCTTGCTTTCTTGCTTGCTTGCTTTCTTGCTTGCTTGCTCATCTGTCACCTCTGGTCTGGGTCTCTCTTTGTCACCTCTTTCACCTGTTTCCTCTCGTTGTCTTTGTTCTGTGTCTCTTTTCTTTGAGTCTCTTCGCTCTGGGTGCTGTCTTCTCCGCGTCTTCATCCACTGTACTGTGGTGGGAGAACGGCAAGACTAATAGGATGGATGGGCATAATATGGCAGGTTGTGGACAGGACTTGAGAGATAGAGAGCAAAAACTCCAAGTACTCTCCTTGCCCCCGTCTTTGTTTCTCACATTTCCCCTTTGCTTGCCCATCTCCGCATCTCCCCATCTCCCCATGTCCCATCTCCCATCTCCTCATCGCCTCTCTCTCCCCCCCTGCTTCCCCCCACAGGTCATGCTCTACTCCCAGGGAGCCAACTGCTGGATGACACCACTTACGAGGCGCCTTAAAACTCCTCATCTCCGCATCTCTCTCCCTCCTCTCTCTCCCCTCGCTCTCCCCCACAGGTCATGCTCTTCTCCCAGGGAGCTAACCGCTGGATAGCACCACCCACTGCCACCGCACCCTCCCCCCCTCCCTCCCGCCCCTCCTCCTCCCCCGCTCTTGACTGGTCCAAGCCATGGGCAGCAGGACTCACTACCTCCCTGCCTCTCAACCAGTCTCTCACCATTGTTTTCACGTCCTCCTCTTCCGCCTCCTCCGCCTCTGCCCCCTCCTCCCCTTCCTCTGCCTCTCCCGCCTTTGCACTGCAAGCGCCCTCCGGTCTCTTTCTCGCACCGTCCTCGCCCACCCCTCGAGCCACGTTCGCTGCCACTGCTGGTTCCATTGGGGACGCAGCTGCCTTTGTTGCCGAGCCTGCTCCTGTGAGCCTTTCGTGCCTCTGCTTTGTATTCGTCTTGCTTCTTCTTCAAGTGACAGCCTCATGTTATTTTTCTTTTGGGCGTGGGGGGGAAGATGGTTACTACTATTATTGGTATTATGCACATGGTGATAACAGTAATAATGCGACTCCCTGTCATAACATGCCCACTTCTTCATCGCCCCACGAAGTCACCCATTCAACTCCACCACCTTCTGACTGTCTCCATATAGTCTTTGGTTGCTCTATACGAGTTATTCATCTGTTCTTTTGTTCACTCTGATGCTGTCATTTAACTGTCCCCCAGTAAATTTCTATAATCTATCCCCAACCCCGCAACCCCGTTCAATCTCCCCCAGGGCGACCCTTCCTCCCTCCTCATCCGCCTCGCATCCCCTCCCGCCTCCTACCTCACCGTCTCCGCCCCTCCCGCGTCCCTCCTCGCGCTCCATCCCCCGGGCTCCCTCCCTGCGCGCCCCGCATACTTCCGCATGCGGGAGGGCATGGAGGTGGCAGCAGCGCGCGGCGTGAACCTGGGCGGGTGGCTGGTGGCGGAGGAGTGGATGGAGCCGGGGCTGTTTGAGGGGGTTCCGGACGTGGTGGACGGGGTGCTCGTGCAACTGCAGGCGCAGCAGTCGGGGCGATACGTGTCGCTGTGGGACTCTGCCACTGGCGAGGTGCGTTGCTTTGGGATGCTTGGGATGCTTGGGGTGCTTTGGGGTGCTTTGGGGTGCTTTGGGGTGTTTTGGGATGCTGCCACTGGCTTTGACTTTTGAGTCGAATCAAAAGTCACGGTGAGGGCATGGGCGTGAACCTGGGGGGGTGGATGGTGGCGGAGGAGTGGATGGAGCCGGGGCTGTTTGAAGGGGTTCCGGAGGTCGTGGATGGGGTGCTCGTGCAGCTGCAGTCGCAGCAGTCGCACCTGTTTGGGTTTGAGTCGTTGGCTGTGTGGCTTGTTCGCTGTCTGTCTGGCTGGCTGGCCTGTTCGACCTGTTTCATCTGTTTTATCTATTTGATCTGTTCCCTATTCCCCCCTCCCATCCCAACTATACCCTCCCGCCCGCACAGGCGAGAGCATCAGCCACCTCCCTATCCATCCTCAGCTGAGACCTCCTTCTGATTACTCTAGACAATGGCATTCCCTGTCTTCTTCTTTCTTTTCTCCCCCCCATCCCCCAACCATTCCCTCCCTTCCTTCCTCGCCCGCACAGGTCAGAGCATCAGCCACCTCGCCATCCTCAGCTGAGACCTTCTTCCTTCGCCTCGCACCCGGCCCCTCCTCCTCCCCTCCCCTCTCCCTCTCCTCCCCCTCCTCCTCGCCCTCCAACGTCTCTCTCTACATCCGTGCCGCCAACGGCCGCTTCCTCTCCATTCCCTCCACTTCTTCTCCTGCCTCTCGCTCCACCTCTCGTTCCTCTGCCTCCGCTGCTGCTCCACCTAGCTCTGTGCTTGTTGCTAAGGCGGTCTATCCTGGCCCTCCCGGGCCTGGAGAACAGCCGGGGAGCGGCAGTGGCGGCGGCAGTGGCAGCAGTGGCAACGCTGGCAGCAGCGACAGCGGGTGGACGTCGTTTGTTGTTGTGTTCGCCCCTCGAAGCAACACCACTGCTGTCATCGCCGTCAACAAAACCAGCACTAGCGGCACCGGCAGCACCAGCAGCAGTAACAGCAGCAGCAGCAGCAACACCACCACCACCAGCACGCTCTACCTCCTGCGAGTCCTCCCCAACGCCTCTCTCGTGGCAGACACACCCATCCCCGTCTCGCAGCTCTCCTCCCCGGCCTCCCCTCTCTGGTCCCCCTCCTCCTCCTCCTGCCCCTCCTGCCTCTTCTCCTTCCTCCCCCAGGACCGACGGCGAGGCGAGTGGCAGCTATCCCAAGGCCTCAGAGCCACCCAAGGGGACGAGGAGGCGGAGAGGCGGGTGAAGGAGCATAGAGAGGGGTTTGTGAGGGAGGAGGATTTGGCGTATTTGTCAAGGCAGGGGGTGAATACGGTGCGGGTGCCTGTGGGGTACTGGACTGTGTATGGGGAGGGCGTGGGGGAGAGCGGCGGCACGCCGTTCGTCGGAGGGGGTCTGGCGAAGGTGGATCAACTCTTCCACTGGGCAGGTGGGTGGGTGGGTGGGTGGGTGGGTGGGTGGGTGGGTGGGAGTTTTGAGGCGCTTTTGAAGGCTGATTATTTGTTTTGGGTTTTACTGTTCGGCTTTTGAGTCAACTCATCAAAAGCAGACTGTTTGACTGGGGAGGTGGGGATGGGTGTGAAAGGGGAGGAGGAGGAGGGGGAACTGGGAGGATGCATGGTGGGGAAAAGTGAGAAAAGGAGGGGGAGAAGGGGGAAAGGGGGGAAAGGAAGGGGGGAAGGGGGAAGGGGGAAAGGGAGGGGACGAAGGGGGGAACGGGGGCTGACTGACTGACGATGCTGCTCAGCTGACTTTTGCACCGATGCAGCTGCATTGTTGTGACTTTTGCGTCACAACGATGCTGGATCGGCTGTTAGATTCAGCAGGAGGGAGAGGTGGGAGAGGGGGTTTGGGGTGCGGAGGGTGGTTGAGGAGATGGGTGGTTGGGGAAAGAGGGGGAGGGGAAGGGGAGAATGGGAAAGGTTTGGAAGGGAGGGGGGGGGAATGCTGCTTTTGAGGTGCCTCAAATGACTTCTGAGGCGCCTCAAAATGAGAACACACTGGATCACAGTGGGCCGATGTTGCTCCCTGTCCCCCCTCTCCCCTCCAACCCTCCCCCCACCCCCCCTACGCCCTCTCGTCTACAGAGAAGCACGGAGTGAGGGTGCTCTTTTCCCTGCACGGGGCACATGGGTCGCAGAACGGGTACGATCACAGCGGCAGTCAGGACGGCTTTGGGGAGTTTGGCCGCGCCGACTCTGCATACCACGTCACTGCCACGCTGAACACCATCCAGCTGCTCGCCAAGCAGTGCGTGCGTGCGTGCGTGCGTGTGTGTGTGTGTGTGTGTGTGTGTGTGTGTGTGTGCGTGCGTGCGTGCGTGCGTGCGTGCGTGCGCCTGCGCGTGCGTGTGCGTGTGTGTGTGTGTGTGTGTGTGTGTGTGTGTGTGTGTGTGTGTGTGTGTGTGTGTGTGTGCTTCCCAGCCTCTGTTGCTTAGATTGTGCTGCCTGGAGTGTATGTTGCTTAAGTTTGTGCTCTTGGGTGCAGGAACAGCTATGCGATATCATTTTCCAAAACACGCTGTGCATGCCTTCTCAAGCAGTGCATGCCTTCTCAAGCAGTGCATGCCTTCTCAAGCAGTGCATGCCTTCTCAAGCAGTGCATGCCTTCTCAAGCAGTGCATGCCTTCTCAAGCAGTGCATGCCTTCTCAAGCAGTGCATGCCTTCGTAATGCATCCACCCACTCCTTCTCTGTCCCCTTCCTTCCTCCATCTTCTGACCTCTCTCTCTGCTCTTCTCTCCCCTCCTATCTCCCCTACTTCTCTCCGCATCCTGTCGACCGATGCCTTCCTGGGCATGGGCGTGCTCAACGAGCCCACCAGCAACTGGGTGAACAAACCCGCCCTCTCTTTCTTCCTCCCCCCCATTCCCACTACCTCTTTCCAATCTTTTCATGAAACCAGCTATGCCGCCCGCCCTGCCTTTCTGGGCATGGGCGTGCTCAACGAGCCCACCAGCAACTGGGTGAACAAACCCGCCCTCTCTTTCTTCCTCCCCCCCATTCCCACTACCTCTTTCCAATCTTTTCATGAAACCAGCTATGCCGCCCGCCCTGCCTTTCTGGGCATGGGCGTGCTCAACGAGCCCACCAGCAACTGGGTGAACTCGCAGGCCCTCTCCTCCTTCTACCGCCGTGCTTACACCGCCGTGCGCGCTGCCTCTCCCTGCGCCTATGTGGGCCTCTCCACCTACGCTGACACTGACAGGTGTGTGCTGTGTGGTGTGTGGTGTTTGACCCACGTGGTGTGCATGATGCAACTTCAAACGTCATAGACAGGAGGTGTGTCTACTCCAGCCCATGACACGTGAGTCGAATTCACAAGTCGCCTCGCCCTGTGCTATGCCTGTTCTGTGTGGGTCCCATCCTCATGCTTCCTCCTCCCTCCTCCCTCCTCCCTCCTCCCTCCTCCCTCCTCCCTCCTCCCTCCTCCCTCCTCCCTCCTCCCTCCTCCCTCCTCCCTCCTCCCTCCTCCCTCCTCCCTCCTCCCTCCTCCCTCCTCCCTCCTCCCTCCTCCCTCCTCCCTCCTCCCTCCTCCCTCCTCCCTCCTCCCTCCTCCTCCTCCCTCCTCCCTCCTCCCTCCTCCCTCCTCCCTCCTCCCTCCTCCCTCCTTCCTCCTCCCTCCTCCCTCCTCCCTCCTCCCTCCTCCCTCCTCCCTCCTCCCTCCTCCCTCCTCCCTCCTCCCTCCTCCCTCCTCCCTCCTCCCTCCTCCCTCCTCCCTCCTCCCTCCTCCCTCCTCCCTCCTCCCTCCTCCCTCCTCCCTCCTCCCTCCTCCCTCCTCCCTCCTCCCTCCTCCCTCCTCCCTCCTCCCTCCTCCCTCCTCCCTCCTCCCTCCTCCCTCCTCCCTCCTCCCTCCTCCCTCCTCCCTCCTTTCTCCTCCCTCCTCCTCCCTCCATGCCTCCAGCCCGTTTCTGAAGGGGCTGATGACGGGCGACGAGCACACGAACGTGCTGGTGGACCTGCACATCTACAGCGTGCATGCGGAGAAGCTCAGGCAGATGTCCCTCCAGCAGAACCTCCAGTTCCTCACACTCAACGTGAGTGCCGTGCCATGGGAGCAGGGGGTGGCATGGGGATGGCATGGGGGTGGCATGGGGATGGCATGGGGGTGCATGGGGATGGCATGGGGGTGGCATGGGGATGGCATGGGGGTGCATGGGGATGGCATGAGGGTGGCATGGGGATGGCATGGGGGTGGCATGGGGATGGCATGGGGATAGCATGGGGGTGGCATGGGGATAGCATGGGGGTGGCATGGGGATGGCATGGGGGTGGCATGGGGAGACTTGCACGTGGCATGGTGATGGTATGGGAGGAACCGACAGTCTCTGCTTTGGGAATTCGCCATGCTCTAAATGGCCGGCCTATTCTGTAGTTGACTCATAGGATGCTGACATTACATGACATGACATGACATGACATGACATGACATGATGACATGACATGACATGACATGATGACATGACATGACATGACACGACATGACATGACATGCTATGGCATGAGATGACATGTTGTCAGTGCAGGAACAGAGAGCCCTGCCTTTGGGGCACTTGTCTTCCCTTGGGCAGACTGTGGCATGGCGTTGGAGGGAGGGAAAGGGCGGACCATCATACGCCAGTCGTGCTCCTCCCTCCTCCTCCTCCTCCTCCTCCTCCTCCTCCTCCTCCTCCTCCTCCTCCTCCTCCTCCTCCTCCTCCTCCTCCTCCTCCTCCTCCTCCTCCTCCTCCTCCTCCTCCTCCTCCTCCTCCTCCTCCTCCTCCTCCTCCTCCCCCACTTTTCATTGCCCCAACTGTCTCGCTCTGTCCTCTCCGGCCCCTGCCCCCCATCCCATCCCCTCTACTGCCCATCTCCCTCCCTGTGGCAGAGGTCAGCGGAGATAAGTCAGGCAATATCAGGAGGGCAATCGGCTGGCCATGGTGGGGGAGTGGTCTCTTGCACCACCAACAGAGAAGTGTGTTTAGAGTCGACTCAAAGCACAACCCATCCCCTCTACCGCCCATCCCCCTCCCCGTCCCCACATGGCAGAGGTCAGCGGAGATAAGGCAGTACCAGGAGGGCAATCGGATGGCCATGGTGGGCGAGTGGTCACTCGCTCTACCAACCGACAACGACTCCGATGTAAGTCTCCCAGGATTATGAGGCGACAACAACAAAAGCTTTGGGAAGAGGGCCGACTTGTGAGGAACCTCAATCCACTGGCCGTCGTGGGGAGTGGTCGCTCGCTCTACCAACCGACAACGACTCCGATGTAAGTCTCCCAGGATTATGAGGCGACAACAACAAAAGCTTTGGGAAGAGGGCCGACTTGTGAGGAACCTCAATCCACTGGCCGTCGTGGGGAGTGGTCGCTCGCTCTACCAACCGACAACGACTCTGATGTAAGTCTCCCAGGATTATGAGGCGACAACAACAAAAGCTTTGGGAAGAGGGCCGACTTGTGAGGAACCTCAATCCACTGGCCGTCGTGGGGAGTGGTCGCTCGCTCTACCAACCGACAACGACTCTGATGTAAGTCTCCCAGGATTATGAGGCGACAACAACAAAAGCTTTGGGAAGAGGGCCGACTTGTGAGGAACCTCAATCCACTGGCCGTCGTGGGGAGTGGTCGCTCGCTCTACCAACCGACAACGACTCTGATGTAAGTCTCCCAGGATTATGAGGCGACAACAACAAAAGCTTTGGGAAGAGGGCCGACTTGTGAGGAACCTCAATCCACTGGCCGTCGTGGGGAGTGGTCGCTCGCTCTACCAACCGACAACGACTCCGATGTAAGTCTCCCAGGATTATGAGGCGACAACAACAAAAGCTTTGGGAAGAGGGCCGACTTGTGAGGAACCTCAATCCACTGGCCGTCGTGGGGAGTGGTCGCTCGCTCTACCAACCGACAACGACTCCGATGTAAGTCTCCCAGGATTATGAGGCGACAACAACAAAAGCTTTGGGAAGAGGGCCGACTTGTGAGGAACCTCAATCCACTGGCCGTCGTGGGGAGTGGTCGCTCGCTCTACCAACCGACAACGACTCTGATGTAAGTCTCCCAGGATTATGAGGCGACAACAACAAAAGCTTTGGGAAGAGGGCCGACTTGTGAGGAACCTCAATCCACTGGCCGTCGTGGGGAGTGGTCGCTCGCTCTACCAACCGACAACGACTCTGATGTAAGTCTCCCAGGATTATGAGGCGACAACAACAAAAGCTTTGGGAAGAGGGCCGACTTGTGAGGAACCTCAATCCACTGGCCGTCGTGGGGAGTGGTCGCTCGCTCTACCAACCGACAACGACTCTGATGTAAGTCTCCCAGGATTATGAGGCGACAACAACAAAAGCTTTGGGAAGAGGGCCGACTTGTGAGGAACCTCAATCCACTGGCCGTCGTGGGGAGTGGTCGCTCGCTCTACCAACCGACAACGACTCCGATGTAAGTCTCCCAGGATTATGAGGCGACAACAACAAAAGCTTTGGGAAGAGGGCCGACTTGTGAGGAACCTCAATCCACTGGCCGTCGTGGGGAGTGGTCGCTCGCTCTACCAACCGACAACGACTCTGATGTAAGTCTCCCAGGATTATGAGGCGACAACAACAAAAGCTTTGGGAAGAGGGCCGACTTGTGAGGAACCTCAATCCACTGGCCGTCGTGGGGAGTGGTCGCTCGCTCTACCAACCGACAACGACTCTGATGTAAGTCTCCCAGGATTATGAGGCGACAACAACAAAAGCTTTGGGAAGAGGGCCGACTTGTGAGGAACCTCAATCCACTGGCCGTCGTGGGGAGTGGTCGCTCGCTCTACCAACCGACAACGACTCTGATGTAAGTCTCCCAGGATTATGAGGCGACAACAACAAAAGCTTTGGGAAGAGGGCCGACTTGTGAGGAACCTCAATCCACTGGCCGTCGTGGGGAGTGGTCGCTCGCTCTACCAACCGACAACGACTCCGATGTAAGTCTCCCAGGATTATGAGGCGACAACAACAAAAGCTTTGGTTGTGAGGAACCTCAATCCACTGGCTGTCGTGGGGAGTGGTCGCTCGCTCTACCAACCAACCACAACTCTGATTTCGGCCTCAGGTTTTTTCCCCCTTCCCTAGCCATTGCCCACGTGGATTGGCCTGGAATCATTGGAAGAGGAGCGCTGCACCCTTCTCCCTTCTTCGTGTTCTGCACTTCCTCCATTCCCCTCCTACTTCCCCTGCCCCCATTTCCCTCTTTTCTCCATTACCTCTTCCCCCCTCATCCCTCCCCCTTTTGCTGCCTTTCCCGTCCTCCCACCCCATTCCTCATCCCTCTCCTACCAACCTCACACCCACCATCAGGATGACGTCAAGAAGTTCGCTGAAACGCAGCGGGAGGTGTTTGGGCAGGCCAAGGGCGGGTGGTACTTCTGGTCGCTCAAGCTCAACCGCACCAACGACTACCCCAACTGGAGCTTCCGCTCCAGCGTTGCAGCTGGCTGGCTGAAAAATGCCTCCAGTGGTTCTGGCGTGTGGTGAGGTGGTGCTGCAGCTGGTGGTAGTGGTGGTGACTCGTAAGCGAATGTGCTGTTGCAACAGTTGGAGTTTAGTGGCGCCTCAAAAGGCGTCTTCTACCCCAGCCGGAGCTCCCGCTAAAAGCATGGGAGTAGGCTGGCTGTAAAGAATGCCTCTAGTGGTGAAGGTGTGCGCCCCTCGAGGGCGTGATGCTCGGGCGAAAGGTTGGGGATGAGGACGGTTTGGCTTTGCTTCCCACTTTTACCGGTACTGGTACCGAGCCTGGCTGGTGTTGGAGGAAGAGTGATGATGCAAAGGAGCATGAGCATGGCGTTTGCCATAGGGAACAGCAGCACGGATGGCCGTTTGCTGTGTTTAAGATTGAAATGGTGTGCATATTTGTGCATTTATTTACTGTATAGACCTGTCATTGTACTAACTGTACATTTACCAAGTTAGTAAATTTGTCATACCAGTCAGCAGCTAACATTCTAGTCAGCACTCTGCACATGCACTAGTACGGTAAACCAGCAACACCAGGTCCTTACCTTATGCAACTCTGTCAAAGGAAAATTAAATACCAGGTCCTCTTGCTGCTAGCTACTAGGGCCAAGGAGAAACACAGCAGAAAGGGCCACACACACACACTCCCTTCTCATGCCTTCCCCACAGAAACTCCTACGTACTACCATGTAGCTGCAGGTATTGAGCAGCAGGGTAAACAGCCGAATTGTATTCGTCTCTTCTCTGGCTTCAATTCAATTTACGTCCACATTGCCATTTCCTCTGCCTGGACGCAACCTATAATATGGGGCACGAGCAGCTCCAGGCCAGGCTCACTTCCCGTTTGCCTATATAAGGGTTCGGAAATTCAGTGAGACGCGGAGGCTTGGGGGGTGTAGTCCGTGTCCTTCTCACCCTGGTACACTGCTGACATGGATGTGGGGACCACAAACTGTAAGGGGAGAGAGGGGGGGGGGGGGGGGGGGGGGAGGGGGGGAGCGGATCGAAGAGAAATGAAGGGAAGGGCAGGCAAGAAATGAAACGAGTCATGGGAGTGAGAAATAAGATTTGAACCAGGCGAAGTGGGATGAAAATGGTGCCTGATGGGAAGAGACTGAAAGGGATGACATGACAACGACCCCAACAGCCTCCTCGACAGCAGGTACCATATATGGGAATATCAAGGAAAGAGAGCAACGGACAAGATACTGGCAGTAGTTTCGACCGCTTGGATACATTATGTGGAGAACGAAGGCAGTGAGCAAACCTGCGCCTTCTTGGAGCTGACAGCGCCAGTTGGCATGTTGTGCAAGCGTGGATACGGGATGCCATAATGCACCGCCATCTGCCGACGAGCCTCGCCCTCCTCCAACTGATGTTACTCCTTGCCGTGTGTGTACCAGGGGTGAAAACATTTACATTACGAATTAGCATGTGATGTGCGGGTTAGGTTAAGCCGAACGAAAGCCTAGCGGCACAGAGCATGCATACGGCATGCTCTGAACAGGCAGAGGAAGGACCAACACGGACCATTATAAGATTAACTACAGGCAGCAACATTCAACTTGCAAGAATTCAACCATGTTCAACAAAAAAGGGCACCAGCTAATGCACCAAATTATTAGACCTAGACTGAACTCTCACCAGTTCCCGGATGCGCTCCTTATCCTGGACGTCTCTGTTGCTCTCAAACGCTCGCCGACTCTCCTCCTAAACAGGCAGCACGGGATGCTTGCAACAGGAATTGTGGCAAGGCAAGAGGCATTTAGACGAAGCAGAAGGGTCACACAAACGTCTCGCCGAAACGATCAGATTTAGGGCTCGGAACAATTTTTGTTGAGAAACTCGACCGCGCTAGACCATGGCGCCATGCCGCACCTTGATATACGTCCGCTCTTCTGCAGAGCCGTGCCAGCTCCTCGCAGTGCGTAGGAGCCGACGGTAAAGGCCAATTGACTGGCGAGTGAGGCTCATCGTGTGAGCTCGCAGGGCGAGCGCCGATCTACTGGATTAGCGTCAGCGGAATTATTCGGTCAAGGCGAGGCACGCCACCGATAATGGGCTGCACTCCGGCCTCTCCGCTCGATAAAGGTTGCGTAAGAGCGAAGGCGAGTGAACGAAGTGACAAATCCGATTGGGAATATAGAAACCCACTTACACTGATTCGTTTAAAACGGTAGCTAACTGTATTCACAACATTAGTTTAGTGGTTGGGAACACACATTTGGTGAACCATATTGTTTTGTGTACACATCCTCAGCCCACTTGCATCTCTGCATGCAAACTCTCTGATGCGTTTCCAAGTTACCAGCGACCACGACATAGCCTCATCTTGATTCCAGATGGATGCCCCATGATGTACAATGTGCACGAGGACACGACATCGTATTACCGGTAGAGATGAACATAAACTGCATTAATTTCAGTCTAGTAAATGTTAGATAATAAAGCACGAAAATACACAAGGAAACAAATAAAAAGGTCCCACAGAACGCTTATGCCCGCTCGCCGCGAATACGCCTGGCGAGCTGAATATCCTTGGGCATGATTGTGACACGCTTCGCGTGGATGGCGCACAGGTTGGTATCTTCGAACAGACCGACCAAGTAAGCCTCTGCAGCCTCCTGCAGAGCCATCACAGCGGAACTCTGAAACCTCAGGTCTGTCTTGAAGTCCTGAGCAATTTCACGCACTAGCCGCTGGAAGGGGAGCTTGCGAATCAAAAGCTCCGTCGACTTCTGGTACTTGCGGATCTCACGAAGCGCCACGGTTCCGGGACGGTAGCGGTGAGGCTTCTTCACGCCGCCGGTAGCGGGAGCTGACTTCCTGGCGGCCTTGGTGGCGAGCTGCTTGCGAGGAGCCTTGCCTCCTGTTGACTTACGAGCAGTTTGCTTAGTACGAGCCATTCTGAAGAGCGTCAAATGAACGTTGAAGTACAGTGGAGGTAGTACCGCGAGCTGGAGACGAAGGATATGAAAGCTAATCAGTGAGCAATAGAGAAAATGGTGAATGGAGAAAAGTGGAGCACACCAACAGTTATGAAGAGAAATGACTCGTAGGCAAGGTGGGGAAGAAGATGGTGTTTGGTTGGGTTGGGTTGGGGTCCGGCCCCTTGAGGGGTCCTTGCGGAATTGCTTGCTTCGGAATCGACGCGGTGCGGTTTGAAAGATCGAAGTGCAAAAGCTTGGCATCGAAGAATCAATCGAAACCGTCAAAACGAATGGCATCGCGCGCTGCACGCAATCTGAAATGTAATTGGCTTATTTTCTCTGTCTGGATCGTCAACAATGTCTACTCCTCGTTGCGGACAACCACACCCACCAGCCCAAACAAAGGATCCGTACAAGACGAGTTTCGATTCAGGAAAGAGAATGAAAGAAAAATGAACGAGCAATATCTATGTATGAGGAATATATCGTATTATTTTTTCTATAAAAGAACGTACAGCACACAATTCAGTCTCTTACATTTTTACACAAAAAATGCTACAGAATATTTAATAATAATAATAAAGATAACGTGCAGTATCGCATTTAGAAAATGTGTTTTCCACCAGTCTGTGTTGGAAATACAAAACCTTATTGCAGAGCATTTGTGTTAATTGCAAGCGAGTGTTGGCTGCACGGTTCTGTTATGCTTCGTGTTTTATCCAACTTTTGTCTTGTGAAACAGCTTCCTACATTCTTCAGCTAGTCCTGAAGCCATAGCCTACCTAAAAACTGCACAACAGCACCTTTGTTGAGAAAATTGAGGTGCTTGAGCAAGGTGCTGTGAGTCACACTGAACATGGCTCAGGTTCAGCAGTTTCATGCCCAGAGCCATTGTACGGTTCTCACTATTGGGCTTGTGATTTCCTTTCGAACACAATGGAGCCAGCAAACGGCCCATGGAAGATTCTAACACGCATCCACGTTATATAGTAGTAATCCACGGTTATACTGTTAATTATGACGTACCAATTAGTCAATGTTAAGCAACTACATACATAAAGCAAAAGCCGCAACTTGAGCTCTAGTCTGATCCTAGTCTGAAACCTATGTTAGAGCGGATGTTGTTCTACAGGCCTATGCACGCTCGCCACGGATGCGTCTTGCAAGCTGAATATCTTTGGGCATAATGGTGACACGCTTCGCATGGATGGCGCACAAGTTGGTGTCTTCGAACAGACCGACCAGGTAAGCCTCAGCAGCCTCCTGGAGAGCCATAACCGCAGAGCTCTGAAACCGCAGGTCCGTCTTGAAATCCTGGGCAATTTCACGCACGAGACGCTGGAATGGGAGCTTGCGAATGAGCAGCTCAGTAGACTTTTGGTACTTGCGAATCTCACGAAGAGCCACTGTACCCGGACGATATCTGTGAGGCTTCTTCACGCCACCAGTAGCGGGAGCTGACTTCCTGGCAGCCTTGGTGGCGAGCTGCTTGCGGGGAGCCTTCCCTCCTGTAGACTTGCGTGCAGTCTGCTTAGTGCGGGCCATGGCTACTTAAGGAGGAAGAAGACGGGATGCGAAGTCTGAGCCACAAAGAGTGGAAAGTGAACACAAGGAAGACTGAAGAGTGGAGAGTAGATGTTGGCCTTTTGTATCCAAACGGTGTACTGGTCGGGAGGAGACAGATGTTCAGCTGGAGCGCGAAAATGTTGGTGGCTTGGTTCTTCTCGCGATTGGGAACATCCAAGTCTAGGGAACTTCCGCAATCGAGCATTCAATCGGTGCCGTCGATAACAGTCGGCATCGCGCAACTCCCGCAAGATGCATCAGCTGATTGGGTCTCGATCTGTACGCGGATCGCAGCTTGTTTGGGCATTCTGGAATCGAACCTGAATCAGGAGAACACTTGGAATGACAAATAGCAATTGATAAAGGAAAAAAATATAATTCGCATGTATATTCACCTCACCACACCAAGACAAACTAATGTCAGATATAAAAACGGCCGACATGATGCAAATGGATTAGAGCACAAGCAAACAAAGAACCTGCAGGAGTAACTACACCAATCTCATACAAAATAACAGTGCCCCTAGTCTATGCCAAAACAACCTCACCAAATTATCAAAAAACCAGCACTACAGATGCCCAATTGATCCTAGGGAAGGGTTACAGGCTCGCTGGCCTGGAGGGTTATGGGCCCACTGACCCACTACTTACGATCCCCTTTTATCCCAATGGTTTAGTGACTGGTATTCTGACACAAGCCCACACTTCATTCCAGTCCATCTAATCCCTCGAAATCCTAATCCTCACTCCACCTTCACGCTCCACGGGTGCTCCACAAGCCCATACTGAATATCCATCAGCGCGCGGTGCACGCGAGCCGCCACACTGAGTGGCTCCCAATCCTCAGGCTTGTTCCACACCTGTCCGGGCTTCTTGCTGGTCCAGTGCGCCAGCGTGGCGTCTTCCACGGGCGTGGAAAGCTCCGTGCCGTCGGGAAGGACTAGGGCAGACACGGGCTGTACCACCACGGCTGTGCCCGTGCCAAAGATCTCCAGCAGCCGCCCTTCTTTGTGCGCTTGCCGGATCTGGATGGGGAGAAATGGGTTGGGTTGGGTTGGTTGTGTTGGCAGGTTGGAGGTTAGAGTGAGACGAGACGGTACAGGTAGGAGAAGAGTGCGTAAGAGAGGACACGTCTGGTGGTGGTGGCTTATCTCTGCTGCAACGGATGTGCTGACCAAACAATTTTCTGCTACATGGTGGGAGAGGAGTTGAGGGGGAGAGGGGGAGAGACCCAAAGAGAAGTGTGTTTGTGTGTGCACATAGGCAAGGCACGGGCAGCCAAGCACACCCGTCACTTCCTTCGCTCGCACCTCCTTGAGTCGGATCGGCCGTTCAGAGACGTCCATATCGCCCCATGCGCGTGCGAGCTGCAGCACCGAGTCTCGAGTCACACCCGGCAGGATCATGCCGTCCAGACTCGGAGTCACCAGCTCCACTCCACTCGTGCCGTGCTTCGCCCCTCCCTCCTTGCGCACCACAAAGAACACATTCATCGACCCCGACTCGCCAATCAACCCATCCTCCTCCCCGTCCTCTGCCCCTGCTACTCCTCCCCCTGCTCCTGCTTCCGCTCCTGCGCCCTCCGCAACCTCTTGATCCTTCAGCACATACAGCACCTGGGAGCACCCCTTGTGCGCAGCCTGCACCTGTGGCAGGATCGTCGGCGCGTAGTTCCCAGCCACCTTCTTATCCCCCACGCCCCCCGGGAACGCGCGCGCATGCTCCTGGTCCACGAGCAGGCGGATGGGCTTGAGACCGGAGGGAAAGTAGGGCCCCACGGGGGAGAGAAGCACGTAGAGGAGCACGTCTGTGGGGGGCCCGACGCCCAGGAAGGGCGTGGTGGCGATGACGGTGGGGCGGATGTAGGCTGCGAAGCCGTGCGCTGCTGGGATGTAGTGCTCGTCCACCTTGAGCAGGGCTTTGATGCACTCTAGGAGCTCCACCTGGGGGAGGTTGTAGGGGGGGATGGGGCAGCATGGGGGGATTGGGAGATGGGCGGGACGGGGTGAAATTCAGGGCATTAGATGGAGGCTGGGATGTAGTGCTGGCCCACCTTGAGCTTGAGCAGCGCTTTGATGCACTCTAGCAGCTCCACTCCACCTGGGGGAAGTGGGGGGATGGGGGAAGGAGGGAGGGAATGGTGGGACGGGTGGGTGGGGGGGAGGAAGGGGGAACAGACAGGGCACCAGATGGAGGGGATGAAGTGCTCTTCTCGACTTTAAGCAGGGTTGGTTAGAAAGGAGAAATAACGGAACGAGAAAATGGAGGGAGTAGAAGGGGCGGCGGAGCCGGGTGGGGAGAAGGGTGCGAGGGTTGGGAGTTTGTGGGGGAAAGGGAGGGAGAGGGAGAGGGAGAAGGGGTGCGGTGCGCTCACGGTGCTGAAAGCGGGGAGGTTGAGGCGGTGGCAGGAGGAGGCGAGGCGGTCCATGTTCTTGTCGGGGCGGAAGAGACGGATGATGCCGCTGCCTGACTTGAACGCCTTCATGCCCTCAAAGCACCCCATGCCATAGTGCAGCACCTGAAAGACAAGTGCGGGTTGCATGGGCGGTTGGATAGGTGGTTGGTTGGTGGGCGAGTGGGTGGAGTGCACAAGGGAGGGGAGGGGAGGAAAGACTTGATGCCCTCAAAGCACCCCATGCTGTAGTGCAGCACCTGAAAGACATGTGTGGGGTGCGTGGAGAGTGGGTGCAGAGCGGGGCACAAGGGAGGGGAGGAAAGACTTGATGCCCTCAAAGCATCCCATGCTGTAGTGCAGCACCTGCGCACATGCGCGTGGGGTGGGTGCTGTGTGTGTGGTGGGTGGTGCAGTGCAGAGAGAGCGGTGCGGTGCAGAGAGGGTGTGTCATGCTGAGAAAAGGTGGCCTTGAGGGGTGTCGCTGTAGTGCATTGAGGGCCTGAGGGCACTCAATGTCGTGATGAGAAAAAGAAACATTGAGGAGTGCTGTCAAGTCAAGTCAACCCAGCACCCTCCCCTTTCCCCCCCTCCCCCACCTACCCCTGCCCCTCCCCATCTCCTTCACCCGCGTGAGACAACTTGGCCGCATCATCACAGCCGCATTCCACTCTTTTCATCCCACTGCCGCCACAAAGCGCACATTTCGCACAATCGCACGCATGCATGCACGCACCCCTACCCAAAGGCACGCACACACGCACCTGAGCGGCAGGGTGCAGCGGCAGCGGCGCAACGGGCTTGATGACAGGGCTGGACCAGCCGTGCTGGCGGCGCCACGGCACCAGCAGCATGTGCTCCGAGAACTGCGACCCAAACTTGAGCGCTCGCAGACTCAGTGGCTCCTGCACGCGGGGGAAAGGGAGGCGAAGGGTTTAGTTAGACAAGGGGAAGACTGGGTGGGACCAGGACTGGAGATGGGGGAAGGGGTGTGGCACCAGCAGCATGTGCTCTGATAACTGCGACCCGAACTTGAGCGCGCGCAGACTCAGTGGCTCCTGTTCCAGGAGGGGCGGAGGGGTTGGGGGGGAGTGGGAGAGGGAGAGAAGCGGGAATGGAGATGGGGAAAGGGGTGAGGCACCAGCAGCATGTGCTCTGGAGAAATGCGGCCCAAACTTGAGTGCGCGGAAACTCAGTGACTCCTACACGGATGAGAGGGGGTGGATTGAGCGTGGGAAGGGGGTGGGGAGGGGTGGGAGAGATTCTGGGCAAAAAGTGGGAGGAGGAGAGAGGCAGGTATGCAAGTTTAACACCACTCAGTGCACAGCACCGCTCAGCACCTCTCACCCAGTCCTTGCGCGCACCTTGGGTCTGGTGGACTCCTGAATCACCAGATCCGCCACGCTAAAGTCCTTCTCCGCCGTTACGCTACTTTTGAGGCGCCTCAAAAATAGCCGCACAGCACAGCACTGCACAGCACAGCACTGCACAGCACCTCTCTGTGTCTCAGCTCTCACCCATTCCAGTCCTTGTGTGCGCACCTTGGGTCTGGTGGATTCCTGAATCACCAGATCCGCCGCGCTAAAGTCCTTCTCCGCCACCGCGCTCTTCCCCGCGCCTGTCACACCCCCCTCCGCTCCGCGCGCACCGCCGCCCGCGCCGCCGCTGCTGCTGCTGCTGCTGCTGCTGAAAGTGCGGTGCGGTTCGACGCATGACGCAAGGCGCGACGGGACGAAGGGGAAACCAGCGGGAGACGCGGAAGCAGCGCAATGAGCGGAAGAGGAGCCGGTTGCGGGCGCGGGGGAGGCGGCGGCGGCGGGGGACGTCGGGGAGGGGGATGAGGGGCGCAAGAGTGGCGGAGCAGCGGCGGAAGAGAATGGCGCGGCGGAGAGCAAGTGGCGGAGATTGCGCTGCTGGCGGCACGCGGCGGCTGCTGATAGCAGCGCAGTGCGACTCGTCATTGGCTCCGCTTGTTCCGCGTCGGTGTTGATCCGACTCTACTCGACTTGACTCGCTCAGACTCAACTCGACTCGACTCGACTCGATTCAGACCCGACTCGTAGTCGAATTAACTGCTCTAAAATCGCTTCACACAAAAGGCAGCAACGATAGGACTAGTATCCCGCAACTCCCGTGCGTGAGAGCAGCAGCGACGGCAGCAGCGACAGCAGCAGCTGAGGGGGCTTGTTGCTTTCAGGCGCCTCAATCTGCGAACACGCGGTGGTGAGAGAAGCGGTGCAGAGCGGGGCAGTTGGAATGAAGCAGGAGAGGTGAAGGGGTTGGAGACACGACCATGTAAAAACAGGGCGGCACGGCGAGTGCTTGCTGAATGAGACGGATGCGGCCACAGGAAGCGAGGCGTTGAAAGGCGAGAGGAGGCGAGGCGAGGCGAGGCGAAGCGAGGCGAGGCGGGCCGAGGCGAGGTGAATCGAGATGAGGAGGCGAGGTGACAGGGTGGGATGAGGCCGTAGTGGCAGGCAACTTGGAGCTGGCTGTGGCAGAGGGGTTGCTCGCTCCGCGCCAGGCCTTGCGAGACGAGGCGTTTCGATGGGCGGGACATTTTCGTTCCTTTATAATGGACCTAGTATGGTTCAGTCTGGTACGCAGTATTCGAAAGCGGTGAAAGAACGCTAGAGGAATAAATATAACCCGCCGAGAGACTGGTGAGGTGACAGCAAGGTCTTTAGAGCTTCCGCAAATAAAACGAATATGGAATGCAAACAAATATAAATAAACTGCACGGGAGTTATCCTTTTTTACTAGCTTAGCTAATCTATGTAAGAGCCAACTAGAAGACGGAAAACGACAACCATAATTACATTACACTACGCATATATTAATCCGAGCCGAGCTGTCTTAGGCTGAAGCCTTACAGCACGAGTCAGAGTAGGAAGCTCCGGTGTTTTCCTCTTGTTTTTCCACCACTTTCATTCACATCACCACCATTCCCATCCTTGCTCTTCCTCCTCCCATCCTTCCCTCCCACATTGAAACTGCTGCTCCCACTACTGAGGAGACCAGCAGAGGCGCTGGGGGGGGTTGCCACTGTGTAACTGCCACCACCCGCACCTCCACCCGCTGCTGGGTACCCAGGAAGGGGAGGGGGGGCTCCTTTCGCGGCCAGCAGCCCTTTCGGCTGCTTGATAGTCTCGAGTATAAGCGCCACGAGCGCCGGCGTTTTGAACGGCTTAGTGGCGTATGCATCCATGCCTGCCTCTGTGCACAGGTCTCCATACCCAGCCATGTTATGGGCTGTCAGCCCCACAATCGGCATATGCTGCTGCCGCCGCTGGGACGGGGACGGGGAGGGGCCTGGGACGGGACACATATTCTTGGAGGAGGGAGGGATGCCTATTCTTGGAGGGTCGGCGAGTGCTGTAGCAGCGGCCGCAGCGGCTGCGGCATTTGTGCTGCTGCTGCTGCCGCCATTGCCACTGCCGCTACCGTAGGTATTGGCAGCAGGAGCAGAGGTGGCTGAGGAGAAGGAGAAGGTAGAGGAGGGGTAAGCGGAAATGGGGCCAGAGAGGGCACCATAGAGAGGGCCAGATTCAGGGTCCGAGAGAGGACCGGAGGAAGGTGGGAAGGAAGAGGCCTCGCTGTAAGCAGGAGATGGAAGGGGAGGGTTGTATGCTGCTGCTGCTGATGATGATGATGATGATGATGATGATGATGATGATGATGATGATGATGATGATGATGATGATGATGATGATGATGATGATGATGATGATGATGATGATGATGATGATGATGATGATGATGATGATGATGATGATGATGATGATGATGATGATGATGATGATGATGATGCTGATGCTTCTGCTGCAGCCGCTGCTTCCATAGCTCTGATGGCCTTTGTGGCACCAAACCCATCCAGCACTGGCATCTGAAAGTGGGTACGGAGCAAGGGGGGGGGGGGAGAGGAGGGGCGTTACAAAGGGATGCGGAAAAGGACAAGTTGGTGACCCTTGCTTGACAAGTGCAATGGCGATTGAAGGTAGCAAGTGGCAAGCAGGAGTCTGGCGGTACAAAGTCACCCACTTTCTAGGCTCCAAAAGCAAGAACCATCGGATTTTTACCCCACACAATCGGATTTATACCCTACCCAAAAATACTCCACCCCACCCAACCCTTCCACACACCTGAATATCCATGAGAATGAGGTCGATGGTGTCGCGCCTCGCCTTGACAGCATCAACAGCCAGCTGGCCGTTCTCCACGATATCCACCTGTGCGCCCTGCTTCCTCAGCGCAATGGACACCACCTTCTGGTTCACTGGGTTGTCCTCTGCTACCAGTATCCGCACCCCTGCCAACGGCGGCCCCTCGCCGCCCCCTCCTCGGGCTTGGGCTGCTGCACCTGCGGGTGCTGGTGCGGGTGCTGTGGGTGCAGGTGCTGCTGCTGGTGCTGGTGGTGCAGCAGCAACAGCACCAGGAGCAGGAGGAGCAGCAGCAGCAGCAGGAGAAGGAGCAGCAGCTGGGCCTCTGCTCTCAGCATTGCCTCTTAGTGAAGCAACAGCCGTGCTTCCTCCTGCTACTGTTGCTGCAGATGCTGCAGCAGCTGCTGCAGCTGTTGCTGCTGGTGGATTGGGCTGACTGAGCTGCTGCTGCTGCTGCTGCTGCTGCTGCTGCTGCTGCTGCTGCTGATTCTGTGCCTCCAGCTCAAGGCGCACCTGTCCTTGTTGTTCAGCCCTTGCCTTTGGACCAGCGTGCTGCTGTTGTTGCTGCTGCTGTTGTTGTTGTTGCTGCTGCTGTTGTTGGTGCTGCTGTTGTTGGTGCTGCTGTTGCTGTTGCTGCTGCTGCTGTTGCTGCTGCTGCTGTTGCTGCTGTTGCTGCTGCTGTTGCTGCTGTTGCTGCTGTTGCTGTTGCTGCTGTTGTTGCTGTTGCAATTGCTGTTGCTGTTGCTGTTGCTGTTGCAGTTGCTGTTGTTGTTGCTGTTGCTGTTGCTGTTGCCGCTGCTGTTCGTGCAGAGATAGCAATGCCAGCCCATCCCCACCTGCCGTACCTCCCTGCACCTGAGCCTTCCACCAACCAGCACCAGCCCGAGGGGCACCAGACCCGGAGGCACCAGCAGCAGACGCAACAGCAGCAGATGCAACAGCAGCAGACGCAACAGCAGCAGGAGCAGACGCAGCAGCAGCAGCAGGAGAAGAAGCAGGGGGGCCAGATGGTGGCATTGCGGGGGACAAGGAAGCGGAGTTGCCAGGGAGGGGGAGGAGGCGGGGGGAAGTGAAAGGCTCGAGAGAGGCGAGGTGTGCTGCGAGGACAGAAGGGTCTGATCGCTGTGGTTCCAGGCCCCGGCGTCGACTGGAGAGCAGATGCGCCAAGAACGGCTGATGCTGCTGCTGCTGCTGCTGCTGCAGCTGCAGCTGCTGGGGATGTGCATGGGGATGGGGATGAGGATGAGGGTGAGGATGGGGATGGGGATGAGGATGAGGATGAGGATGGGGATGGAGCTGCTGCTGCTGCTGGGGATGTTGCTGCTGCTGCGGCTGCACGCGGTTCTGTGATGAAGCTGCTGCTGCTGCTGCTGCTGCTGAGTCAGTGCCAGCAGCAGCAGACTGTGCAGCAGCGGAGGCGCCAGGGGAGTGGAGCGAGGAGGTGGAAGAGGAGGGACGGAGGCGAGTTGGAGAGGAGGAAGGTGACTCGAAGAAGCGAGGTGGGAACTGGTAGAACTGCGAGACGATGTTCACTTGCATCATCTGGGGTTGCCACGGCTGCTCCCCTGCAAACGAGAAGGAACGGTGCGATGCAGAGCGATTGAAATGCTGCCTCGCACCTGCCGCTGCTGCTGCTGATGGTGAGGGTGCTGCAGCTGCTGCTGCTGCTGCTGACTGCTCAAGCATTTTCTGTGTGGAAGCATCAGCACCACCAGCCACCAACAGAGGAGAGCCACCTGTACCCATCCCTGGTCCCATCCCAGTACCCATGCCTGTACTCCCAGCAGCAGCAGCTACAGCAGCAGCTGAGGTGGCAACATGAGTGGGATGAGCGCGTGAGCCATCTCTGGGGAAGCTGGAGACAGTGAGAGGGGCGCTGAGAGGGAGTAAGAAGCCATCTGGTGATGCAACAGCAGCAGGAGGCGCAAAGGTAGTCGTGCCTGCTGCAGAAGCGGTTGAGGCAGGAGCGAGGGGATGGGAGGAGGGAATGAAGGCTGGAGAAGCGGGGTTGACAGCAGCAAGAGGAGGAGCGGCAGGGGCAGGGGCAGGGATAGAAGTAGTAGCTGCTGGGGTTGCTTGGAAGGCAGAGTCTGGTTGGAGGGAGGGGAAGCGGCGCACAGGAGATACAGGGTACGCCAAGGATGATCCACTTCCTTCCACTCCCACTGCTCCTGCTCCCGCCGCCGCCGCTGCTGCTCCTCCTTCTGATCCTCCTCCGGATGCCCCTACAAGAGCACGAGCAGCAGTATCACCAGTGGACGGGAGAGAAGTAGGCATGAGGAGAACGGGGGAGTGCGTCCACGCAGCAACAGTGCCGGGACTGGTAGCAGAGGCGGGGAAGGCGGCAGCTGTGGCGGCAGCTGTGTCACTTGGGCCACTGGTGGCGAAGGGCAGGCTGGTGGTGCGAGCAGGAGGCGGAAGAGGAGCCTCTCGAAGCATCTCACTGCCGAAACCACCGCCACCACCACCGTCAATATCACCACCAACACCACCACCACCCGCACCAGAAGCAGCACTAGCGCCAGCGCTAGCAGCAGCGCCGCCACCAGCAGCAGCAGCAGCAGCGCCAGCTGCCATGGCGCCTGTTGCGAGTCCCTGCTGTGCCTCCAGCAGCAGCGGTGCTGCCACGTCCTGCAGAGCTGCTGCCGCTGCTGACAGCCGCTGCTTGTCCGACCCTACCCTCGGCACAGGCTTGGCGACAGGCTTGGCAGCAGGTGCGGGGACACGCGCGGCGACAGGCTTCGACAGAGCCGCCGAAGCAGGGGCAGGTAGGAAAGCACCAAATCCAGCAGCACCGGCAGCATTAGTACCTACTCCCATACCATCAGCAGTGATACCCAGCTGCCGCAGCTGCTGCTGCAAAGGAGACCCGTCCCCCCTCGCCCACCCGACACCTCCCCCTCCTCCCTCGTTCCTCACAGGCTGGCGTTTGGGCTTGGCGAAGCGAGCAGTAAAGAAGAAAGACGAGCCTGTCCCTAGCTCGCTTTCCACCCACACCTTCCCCCCCATCATATGCACCATGCTGCGAACTATACTTAACCCCAGCCCTATCCCTCCGTACACGCGCGTGTGCGACGTGTCTGCTTGCACAAAGTTCTCGAATATCTTCTCCTGCTGGTCTGAGCTGATGCCTACGCCTGTGTCGCTCACACACACCACCAACCACACGTCTTCCGTTCCCTCACTGTCTCTGCCTCCCACGCCACTGCTCGCCACTCCTCCTAACCCTCCTCCTCCCCCTCCTCCGCTTGCTCCTGCTCCTCCTCCTCCTCCTGCTCCTCCCCCTGCTGCTGCTCCTCCTCTCCCTCCTGTGCCTCCCCCTGTGTCCACAGAAACTCCCACATTACCAATGAGGTCAATTCCCTTGAGTCCGCGCCTCACCTTGGCTGTATCCAAAGAGTGTGTTCTAGAGATCACCCACCTCTCGTTTACCCCGCCCTTGCCACTGCTTCCCCTCCCACCACCGCCACCACCGCTGCTACCAGAAGCAGCTTCAGCACCAGCACCAGCAGAACCAGCGGCAGCACCAGTGGCAGCACCACCAACAGCAGCACCACCGCCGCCGCCGCTGCCCCCACCAATGCTGCTTCCCCCTGCGCTAGAGCTCACACTCCACATTCCCTTAGCACCTGACAGCCACGTACCTCCCCCTCCTCCCCCTGCTGTTGCCCCACCACTTCCCCTTCCTCCCCCTTTCCCTCCTCCCCCCTCCCCGCCTCCCCTCTCCCCGTCTCCCTCCCCACTCGCCCCAGCTCCTGCCGCCGCCCCTCCTGCTGCTGCTCTCACCAACCCACCGGCGCCTCCCCCTGCCGCTGCTGCTCCACTCCCCACGCTCCCCACCTTCCCCATACCCCCCTCTCCTCCCGTCCCAGTCGTCTCCTTTTGGCTAATCTCATCAGCAGCGATACTTAACAGCTCTCCCCCATCGCTCATCGCGCTCCTCCTCACCTTCCGCCTCGGCCGCTCCTCCTCCTCCTTTAACAGCAACCCTGCCACACTGCCACTGCCACCGCTACTACGCAACAACCCCGCCATTCCTCCCTTTCCCCCACCCCTCCGGCCCCCTCGCTCCTTTCCCCAGTCCCCAGCCGCACCCTTGCCCCCTTCCCCAAACCTACCCCCACTGCTTCCAACCCCCGCACCAGTCCCAACCGAACCCCCAGCAGCAGCAGAAGCAGCAGAGGCAGCAGGCGAGGGAGAGTAGTGCGAAGGGAGAGGACCAGGACCAGGACCAGCAGTCATGGTGGAAGAGAGAGGGAGGAAGCGAGGAGAGGAGGAAGAGGTGCCTGATGGGAGGAGGGGTTGGGAGGGGAGGAAGGTGGAGGATGCAGAGGAGGAGGTTGCGGGCGGGGAAGGGAAGGCGAGGGAGGAGGAGGACGCGCCCCATGTGTCTAGCGCGTTGGAGCTGCTGCTGCGGGCAAACGGGGTGGGTAGTTGTGCCTGTTGCTGCTGTTGCTGCTGCTGTTGCTGCTGCTGCTGCTGCTGCTGCTGATCCGAGCCCATTCCCATCTCTATATCCAATCCACTGCTCTGCCCGCTTGCTGCTGCACCACCAGCACCGCTAGTGGAGGCAGTGCCGGCAGCAACAGAAGCAGAAGAAGCGGAAGTTGAGGTGACAAGAGGCCACCAGGAAGCGAAGCTAATAGGCCCTGCTGACCCTCCACCTGCTCTGCCCAACCTCTTACCTCCTGCTCCTGCTCCTGCTCCTCCTGCTGCTGCCGCTCCTGCCCCTGCTGCCACTCCTCCTGCACCCACACTCCCACCTCCCACTGCCGCCGCCGCCGCAGCAGCAGCACCAGCACCACCAGAGCCAGCAGTGAAACTACTGGCTCCCCTGCCCCCTAACCCTCCCCCTCTTCTCCCTTCTCCCCCTTCCTCTCCTCCTCTCTCTCCTTCCTCGCCCTCTCTTCCCAGGCCCCTCTCACTGCCCCCGTGCTTGTCGTCCCGGCCGAAAAGAGACATGGGTATGGCCCATCGAAGGGAGGAAGAGGCAGAGGCAGAGACAGAGCCAGAGGTAGAGGCCATGCGCGTGGGTCGAATCTCACCACCACCACCACCACCTCCTCCTCCTCCTCCTCCCCCTCCTCCTCTTCCTCCCCCTCCTCCTCCCTGCTCCAAATCCCCACCATCCTCTCCACAAGCCCCTGCTTCCGCATCCCCAGCACCGCCTCTCCCCGCTTCTCTCAGCCGTGATCCTTCTCCCCCTGCCCCTCCCGCTCCCGCTCCCCCTCCCCCTCCCCGTGCACCTCCCCCAGCACTCGCATCCTTAGCCCCAGCAGCGCCCCCTCGGCCCCCTCTCTGCGCCATCAAGTTGAGCTGACGCTGAGGCTCTAGGCTCCAGGACCGGTACAGAGAGGACAGGGGGGGCAGGCGGGCAGCAGTACGGGCCGATTGAGGAGTGGCCATAGGTGTGTTCGGGACGGCGGGCGTGGCAGGGGTGCGGGGGGTGGGGAGCGGGCGGCGTGCAGCAGCTACTGCTGCTGCAGCGGCAGCGGAGGAGGAAGAAGCAGGAGTGGCAGTGGCAGTGGCAGTGGCAGGAGCAGGAGCGTCAGCGGAAAAACCTGCCGATTGTATCCCTGTGAGTCTGGTAGAGTTGAAACTCTCGGATAGATTTGATAGGGCTAAGGTGATGCCTCTGAACCTGCCGCCTGTACCAGTACTGCTAGCAGCAGCAGCAGCAGCAGGGGTTGCTGTTGCCGCCGCCGCCGCTGCTGCTGCTGCTGCTGCCTCCCCTCCTGTTGGGCCCTCCTTACCAGTTTCCTTTTCCATTCCTGCTGCTGCTGCTGCAACAGCGGATTCAAACGCATTTGCCCGTCCGCCTTCACTCCCCCCCACAACCACACCATCCGCACCATCCGCACCATCACCAGCAGCATCACCAGCGCGGACAGCAGCAGCAGCAGGAGGAGCAGCGGGCGGCCCAGGCGTGGCGTTTGGGGGGCGCTGGAAGGGCGTGGACATAAATATACGCGACAGACCCGAGGCATTCCAGTCAGTACCCGATGATGTGCGTGTGTGCCTGTTCTTACCCCCCCCACCTGCCCCCCCACCCGCATCATCTTCAGCAGCAGCAGCTCCCCCTGCTGCTGCCCCATCAGCCCCAGTCCCGTCTGCTCCCGCCGCTGCACTGGAAACTCCACCACCAGAACCAGCAGCGGCAGCAGCAGCAGCAGCAGCAGCAGCAGCACCCACGCCGCCACCTCCCCTACCAACGGCGAAGCTCGGGGCAGCAAAGGAGAGCGTGGCGTGGCGGTGGGGGCGCGGGGCAAAGCACGTGGTGTAGGCCTTCTGGCGGCGCGGGCGAGCAAAGAGGCGGATGGTGAGCGACACAGAGCCCGCTGACGTGAACTTTATGGCATTGCCAACTGGCGGGGGGCGAGAAAGAGAGGGGGGAAAAGGAAGGGAGGGGGGAGGAAGGGGGGGAATATACGGAAGAGGGGAGATGGGGGGAGGTGAGGGGGGAGGAGGGTGGAGGATTTGAGGAGGAATGGTTGAAAGGGTGAGAAACACATGGGCTGAACTGGAGTAGGCTAGGAATAGCCAAGCTTTTGAGTCGACTCAAAAACTGGAGGAGGCAAGCAAGCAAGCAATAGCCACACTGATGCGACATGCCAAGTATTGACAAGCTATGTGTCAGCTTTTTAAGAAATCTCAAAACACGTTGACATGATGCATGCATCGGCAGTGCCCTGTGCGAGGTGGTGTGCATTGAGACTGCCCAGACCCGAGCGGGCGAGAGAGCAGGGAGAGAGCGAGGGAGCAGCGGCAGCAGAGCACGCACCGAGGTTGATGATGATCTGCTGCAGGCGCGCAGCATCGCCCAGCAGCTCCACGGGCACGTCCTCGTCCACCTCCCATGAGAAGTCCAGCTGCTTCTGCACCGCTCGCACCTGGTGAGGGGCACGGGGGAAATGGGAGTGGGAAATTGGGGGAAGCACAAGCACTGGGTGCACTGGGTGTAATGAGGTTATTTTTGAGACCCAGGATATTCTCAAAAGTGACCTCATTACACGAAGCACAAGGACGGGCTGCACTGAGCACTGCACACCCCACAGCAGCTCCACGGGCACGTCCTCGTCCACCTCCCATGAGAAGTCCAGCTGCTTCTGCACCGTGCGCACCTGGGCGAGAAGGGGGGGGGGGGGGGGGGAGTGGGGGAAGGGCGAAAAGGGGAAGGAGAAGCTGGGTTGTGCATGGCGGCGCTCTTGTGGGTGGGTCTCGGCACGTCCTCGCCCACCTCCCGCCGGAAGTCCAGTCCAGTTGCTTCTGCACCGCTCGCACCTTGCCGAGGGGGGAGGGGAGGGGGGAAAGTGGGAGAAGGAGGGGGGCGGGTGGCGGGGGTGTGAAGGAAGAGTAGGAGCGGGGATGAGGAAGACTCAAAAAAGAGGACGTCCTCTTCCTGGTGCTGAGTCCTCCTCCCCAGTGCCCACCACATCCCTGATGGCAGCACCGTGTTGGTGATGTGATGCCCAGCAGACACTCCGCGCATGCTGCTGCTCACAGCTCACCACCCCCACCACACCCCACCTACATCACACAACCGCGTTCCGGGTGGCTGGGGTTGCTGAAACGCCTCCCTCCCCATCCCTCCCTCCCTTCCCTCCCCCCTCTTCTCTCACCTGCAGCATCTTCATGGTGCTAACCACCACATCCCGGATGGCAAACGGCACTTTGAGCAGCTCCAGCTGCCCCGCCTCGATCCTTGCCAGGTCCAGAACCGTGTTGGCGATGCCCAGCAGACACTCCGCAGACTGCGCCACGATCATCAGATGCTCCCTCACCTCCGCCACCACCTCCCCCTGCCCCTGCCCCTGCTGCTCGTGAAGCTGGTCCTGTAATAGCTGCTGCTGGTTGTGCTGGTCGGTGCCCCATGCGGTGGTGGGGGAGGAGTGGATGGACTCGAGGGCGTCGAGAGCGAGTGCTGTCATGCCAATGATGCCGTGGATGGGCGTGCTGCAGGCGGGGGGAAAGATGGGGGGGGGGGGGGGGGGAGGGGGGGGGGGGGGGGAAGAGGGGGGGGGGGGAAGAGGGGGGGGGGGGGGGGGGGGGGGGGGGGGGGATGGGGAGCGAAAGGGTGTGAGGTGAGGACTATGCCCAGCAGACACTCGGCAGACTGCGCCACGATCATCAGGTGCTCCCTCACCTCCGCCACCACCTCCCCCTGCCCCTGCTGCTCGTCCTGTGGTAGCTGCTGCTGCTGGTCGGTGCCCCATGCGGTGGTGGGGGAGGAGTGGATGGACTCGAGGGCGTCGAGAGCGAGTGCTGTCATGCCGATGATGCCGTGGATGGGCGTGCTGCAGGCGGGGGTTGCGGGACAAGGGGGGAAGAGGGGGATGGGACGGGGGGAATGAGGAGATGGGGTGAAGGGATGGGGTGGGATGGCTCGGAGGGACTGGAGGGTGTTCTAGCCAGAGCTGTCATGCCGATGATGCCGTGGATGGGCGTGCTGGGGGCGAGCGGGAGGGTGTGTGTGTGCCGGGGCGGGTGTGGGGGGAGGTGGGAGGGAGGTGGGGGGAGGGGAGGCGGAAGGGGTGTGATAGGGAGAGAGAGAGGAGACTTTTGAGTCAACTGAACAACGATGGATTGAATAGGGGTCGATTTCTGTTACCCGTTTCTCCCCCAACCCGTATCCCACACCACTGCATCAAAACGCACCTCACCCCACCCTAGCGTCTCACCGGATCTTGTGGCTCATATTCGCCAGAAACTCCGTCTTAGCACGGCTGGCCTCCTCGGCGTTTCAAAGCCCCCACCACCTTACCCATACCCCACCCCACCCCACCGCACCGCACCGCACCCCGCGCCCCCCTCACCGGATCTCATGGCTCATGTTCGCAAGGAACTCCGTCTTGGCGCGGCAGGCCTCCTCGGCGTGCTGCTGGCTCATCTGGAGCTGCTCGTTGTACCGCCGGATCTCCTGCGTATTCCTCAAAGCCAATAGCCAACCTACCCAGTCACCACCCCCTCACCCATTTCCACCTCAAACCTAACCCCACTGCACCCTACAAGCGCCTCTCACACCCCATCCCACCGCATCACACCGCACCACGCCCCACCCTCGCATCTCACCGGATCTCGTGGCTCATGTTGGCCAGGAATTCCGTCTTGGCGCGGCTGGCCTCTTCGGCGTGCTGTTGGCTCATCTGCAGCTGCTCGTTGTACTGCCGGATCTCCTGCGTGCGCCGCACCACCTCCTCCTCCAGCGACGCGTTCAGCAGCCGCAGCTCCCTGCGCAGCCGCTTCGTGTCCCGCACTGCTGCTGCTAGGGCCAGCGCTGCCATGGCCTCCACTGCTGCGAACAGTTGCACCTGGAGGGCGTGGGAGAAAGGGGGAATAGAGGGGGGATAGAGGGGGGAAATGGGAAGGGTGGATGGGGAGGGGAATGGGGAGGGGGTAGGTTGGGGGAAGAGGGGAAAAGTGCTTTTGAGGCGTTCAGCAGCCGCAGCTCCCGCACTGCTGCTGCTAGGGCCAGTGCTGCCATGGCTTCCACTGCTGCGAACAGTTGCACCTGGAGTGGGAGTGGGAGGGGCATGGGAAGGGGGGACGGATGGGGAAAGGAGGAAGGATGGGGGAAGAGGCTTTTCTGGCGTTCAGCAGCCTCAGATGCTTAATTGCCCGCACTACTGCTGCTAAGGCTAGCGCTGCTATGGCTTCCATCCACTGCTGCGAACAGTTGCACCTGGAGGGCGTGGGGAGGGAGGAGGGGAGGGGGAAAAAGGGAGAGGTTGAAGCGACTTTTGAGGCGTTACACGACAGAGGCGCTGGGGGCGGCTCCTCTAACACCCCTCCACCGTCCCTCTACCGCCTGCTCGCTGTGCTGCACACCAGTGTCGCCACTCTCGGCATGCCCTGCGCCCTCGGTGCGTGTCCTCCAAGGCTCCACTCCTCTTTCCCTCCCTCCTCCCTCCCTCCCTCCCTCCCTCCTCCCTCCCTCCCTCCCTCCCTCCCTCCCTCCCTCCCTCCCTCCTCCCTCCCTCCCTCCCTCCCTCCCTCCCTCCCTCCCTCCCTCCCTCCCTCCCTCCCTCCCTCCCTCCTCCCTCCCTCCCTCCTCCCTCCCTCTCCTCCCTCCCTCCCTCCCTCCCTCCCTCCCTCCCTCCCTCCTCCCTCCCTCCTCCCTCCCTCCCTCCTCCCTCCCTCCCTCCCTCCCTCCTCCTCCCTCCCTCCCTCCTCCCTCCCTCCCTCCCTCCTCCCTCCCTCCCTCCCTCCCTCCCTCCCTCCCTCCCTCCCTCCCTCCCTCCCTCCCTCCCTCCCTCCTCCCTCCCTCCCTCCCTCCCTCCCTCCTCCCTCCCTCCCTCCCTCCCTCCCTCCCTCCCTCCCTCCCTCCCTCCCTCCTCCCTCCCTCCCTCCCTCCCTCCCTCCCTCCCTCCCTCCCTCCCTCCCTCCCTCCCTCCCTCCCTCCCTCCCTCCCTCCCTCCCTCCCTCCCTCCCTCCCTCCCTCCCTCCCTCCCTCCCTCCCTCCCCTCCCTCCCTCCCTCCCTCCCTCCCTCCTCCCTCCCTCCCTCCCTCCCTCCCTCCCTCCCTCCCTCCCTCCCTCCCTCCCTCCCTCCCTCCCTCCCTCCCTCCCTCCCTCCCTCCCTCCCTCCCTCCCTCCCTCCCTCCCTCCCTCCCTCCCTCCCTCCCTCCCTCCCTCCCTCCCATCCCTCCCTCCCTCCCTCCCTCCCTCCCTCCCTCCCTCCCTCCCTCCCTCCCTCCCTCCCTCCCTCCCTCCCTCCCTCCCTCCCTCCCTCCCTCCCTCCCTCCCTCCCTCCCTCCCTCCCTCCCTCCCTCCCTCCCTCCCTCCCTCCCTCCCTCCCTCCCTCCCTCCCTCCCTCCCTCCCTCCCTCCCTCCCTCCCTCCCTCCCTCCCTCCCTCCCTCCCTCCTCCCTCCCTCCCTCCCTCCCTCCCTCCCTCCCTCCCTCCCTCCCTCCCTCCCTCCCTCCCTCCCTCCCTCCCTCCCTCCCTCCCTCCCTCCCTCCCTCCCTCCCTCCCTCCCTCCCTCCCTCCCTCCCTCCCTCCCCTCCCTCCCTCCCTCCCTCCTCCCTCGCCCTTCCTACACCCCTCCAAGCACATCACCCCTGCCTTCCGGCTCCCCCCCAGTGAGCCTTCCCATGTACAACCCGCCCTCGCCCACCCTTCCCAAGCCAAGTCCCCCCATCAACGTGCAATGTGATGCCACCTGCTTCCACCTGATGCACTGCACTGCAATACCCACTTCACACCCCCCTTCCCTTCCACCTTCACCTTCCCCTTTCCCCGCATGCACTCTACATACACAACCAATCCCCCTCCACAAACGTAATTCCCTTTTACTCCATATTTCCATCCCTCTCCACCTTTCCCACTCTCTCCCTTATCCCCCGCTCTTCCCATATCCCACTTCCCCCTCCCCTCTTCCCTTCCCTTCCCTTCCCTTCCCTCCCCCGCGCCCCCTTCCCCGCGCACCTGCACCATGGTGGCCACGGCATCCGCATCCCCTCTCCCCTCTCTTTTACCCCCCACTTCCCCCACCCTTCCCCGCGCACCTGCACCATGGTGGCCACGGCATCCGCGCGCGCCAGCGGCCCGCGCCCATGCGCGGCGGTGACTCCCCCCAGAAGCGCGAGCAGCAGCGCGACGAGGTTCACTCCGCGCCGATTGTACTGGAACGCCGCCCACGCGATCCCGGGGAACAGCGTGTACATAAGCGACACAGTGAACGACTCTGGCGCGAAACCCCCGAAGAGCACCGCGCACACGCCCGCGTTCAGCGCGACAAACGCGATCATGCGCCACGACTGGATCAAATAGTCCACGCAGGGCGGGAGGCACCACGGCAGCCACCACCGCACCTGCTGCTGCTGCATGCGCTGCTGCTCCCACTGGTTTCGCTGCCACGTGTCGGACCCTCTCCCCGCGGAGGTCACGGAGATCTGGACGAATAGCGGAACGACGACGAGCACGCCGATTCCGTCCGCGACGGCGCGGAACAGCCAGGACTGCACACGGCTGTCCGGGGGCGGCGGGGGATCCGCTTGCGCGAGCGCGGAGAGGAGCGTTTGGAGGCCTTGGAAGAGGAGGGGGACGAGGAGGACGAGCGAGCAGAAGCGGAAGACGTTGGGGGTGCAGTCTAGGGGCGTGCGGTGGCGGCGGTGCGCGCGGAAGATGCGCGCGAGGATGAGCGCGAGCGCGTGCGTGCCGAGCGTGGCGCAGAGCGCGTCGAGCAGCGCGCCGGTGGCGGAGGCGGCGGAGGCGGGCATGGAGAGGCGCACGAGGCGGAAATAAAACGCGAACGCGAGATAGCCGAGGAAGTTGCCCACGAACACGCGATGTCCCGCCGCCTGCGCGTGCGGGGAAGGGGGTGCGAAGGGGAAGGGGGAAGAGTTTCGCGGACCGGAGGGGTTGATCAAGGGAGGAAGGAGGAGGGGGGAGGCGAGGGAGAGGGGTGGTGGATGAAGGAGGAGGAAAGGGGGAGGGAGAAAGTGATGAAGACAAGGTGGGAAGGTGAGGGCATAAGTGGATTACTGGCGGGCGGGGGAGGTGGGGAGAAGGGGGGTGGGAAAGGGTGGGGAAAAAGGGGGAAGGGCTGTGGAATAGAGGCCAGGGGAGCATGCGTGCGTTGTGTTACGCGTGGGCGTGGGGAATGAAGGCGTCACGGCCAGGGGCGCGCGCGTACCGTGACGGCGAAGAGCGCGAAGCCGGCGGGGAACCAGATGGGCGCGGGCACGGACGCGCCCATCCAGAACACCGCGTTCGTCGCCACACCCACGCCGAACAGCAGCGCGCCGAGCAGCAGCACGAGGATCAGTTGCGCCAGCAACGACGACTCGCGCATGTGCAGCTGCAGCGGCCACACCCTGTCGCGCTGCCGCGCGCCTCCCCCGGACATGCCCCCGCCGCCCCCGCCCCGCCCTCCGCCGCCGCCGCTGCCGCTGCTATAGTCATCATCCGCGTCGTCGAACGAGTCGTCCCCGTCGGAGTGCAGGCGCTCCGACCACATGCCGTGCGACCGGAAGCCGCCATGCCGCCCCCCACCCCCTCCCCGCCGCCGCCGCCGCCGACCCTTGCCGCCCCCCTCCTCGTCGTCGTCCGTGTCATCGTCCTCGCTGTCCACGTCATCATCGTCCACGTCATTGCGCCTGTCGACCAGCCCGCGACCACTACCGTTTCCCCGCCAGTCCCCCCCTTTCCCGCCTTCTGCTGCGCCCATGCCGCCCGCGCCATCGGAAATCACCACCTCGTTGTCCGCCTTACCGCTATCACGCCCTTCGTTCTTTCCCCCTGCTCCTCCCCCCATTCCGAACGCCTCCGCGCCGTGTTCCCCCAGAATCGCCCTCAGCGCGTCCTGCTTCGACAGCCCCCACACTGCCGTCTTTCCCCCGGTTCCGCCTCCCATACCGCCTCCCCTGATGCCAGCCCCGCGCTCGCCGTCTGCGGCCCCCGCGCCTCCGCTCTCCGCGTTTTGTTCCCCCCCCGCCTCCCCTTCAAGCGCAATCACTTGATCGCTCCACGTGAGCCGGTGGGGGGTGGCGGGACGCTGCTGCTGCTGCTGCTGCTGTGCTGACGCAGGGAGAGCGGCGGCGGAAACGGGGGAGACGGCGGAGGCGGAGAGTGCGGAGGGGGTTGCGGAAGGAGTGTGAGTGGCGGAAGTTGATCCGAGGCCCGTCCATGCGACGGGCGCAGCGTCGGATGCGACATCGTACGACATTGTCGCTTCTGGACGACTCGCACTAAATCGTTCTTTTCTCTTCCTGCTGCTATAGCTACTCTACAGTCTCCTAGTGCGAGAAAGGCTTTTCGCTGTTATGACTGCGAAAAATCGTCGGTCAGTCGTCAGTAATATATCCTGCTAGGTTGTGAAAAACAACTTAATCCGCGCTAAATGCTCGCGAAACGAAACGAAACGAGCCTGTTGTTACTAAGAAAACTCGCGAATGCCAGAACGATTGCAGTCAACACAAGATGCCACACCCCCGCTCCTCACGCCTCGCTGCCTTGCAGCCCACTCTGCCCCGTGCTTCTGCTCACTTCTCTCTGCTCCTCTCGCTGTTCCCGTTTTTCCCTCTCCAGTACTCCCTTTTCCTCTGGTAGTCCCATCCTCCTACTAAGACCGCTGCTCCCCACGAACACACAACCACCTAACGCCCTTCCTTTCCAGAACAAGCGTCCGATTTCTCTTCCACAACCTGTCGCGAGATGCATCGTCCGCACCCATTACTGGAAGCAGGCGAAACACTACTAGCTCATTACTAACCACCGCGCAACCTGTTGCTGCTCGGGGGAAACACAATGACAGCTTGTTTGCACATTCTTGGTTTCACCAAATCAATCACCACCACACCCCACTCCCGACTAGTACCAGAAAAGCCCGCACTGCTTGTGCTGCGCTGACCTAACGAAACATGCAGGTGCTAGGTGCATGCTGTTGCTACACATGATGCTGTGCGGTTGTTCTTGCCTTGCGACGCTCTCGGACCCAGTTGTTCGCTGAGGGGAGAGGGAGAGTTTCTCTCTCGTCGTCTTCGTGCGTGCGATGTTGCTTTCCCGCTGGCTTCCCTGGCTGTCGTGCACAACGGGTGCGACGAAAACATACCGACAAAGCGGTAACCCCATCGATCGTGGAAGATCCCGGCTGTTCTACAGTGGTTCTCAGGTCGTACCGCACTCCTCTTGTACATTCTTTGCGGTCCAATGAATGTTTACGCGGTTCAAAACGGTGAAACTGGAAAACAGGTTTTCGCCTTGTGGAACCCTCTTGAGCCACAAAGAGTGCACATACAAGCTGAGGCTGGGGCACCCCCTCATTGACAGCAAGGGGACCTCCAACCAATCAAAGCAGCCGAAGTGGAAGAACTACAGTAGCGAGTGATGCACCCTGTCCAGTGGTCCCAGCGACAACCAACCACGTTCGTTTGTGGGAATTCGCGAAACTGCATCAGAGGGTGCACGTAACGTTCTCCATCCGCGTGAGTCGTGACGGCAAATGGCGTTCCCGACGGCAAAACGTGGCACATGGTTGGTTGGTTGCTGTGCGCGCGAACATCTTAGGTGCCCGTCTTGTAACCAGAACCTTGGGCAGGATTACTTTTGACTGGTAAAATGCCCCCAGCAGAGTGATGCACGATCATTTGGAAAAATATGCTATTCGTAACCATCTGGTGACTCGATAACGTTTGTAGTAAACAAATAGAGGGTACGGTCACTGCAAAGGGTGTTTTCACGCGACTGAAAACGTTTCACGTAATCAGTCACTATCAACTGGTTCAGAAAGACGCAAATGGTGATAGATGAAACTCCCGCCAAAACTAGATGAAACCCAAAAGGAACCTGATGCATTTTCGGATGAAACAACCCTAAACACATAACTCACCAGGTGTTTAGGGTTGATCCGTCCCAAACCGCATCCGATTCCGATTGGGTTTTAGTTTTTTTTAGAAGTTAGCGATTTGTAGGGCGCGAGCGAGAATTTTGTTGTGTTTCATGCGTGAAATTTAGTTGTGTTTCATGCGTGACCATTCGGATAATTTTCTACCAGTTATTAGTGACTCAATCCCTGACCCCACTTACCAAACCCGTCAGAAAACCGATAAAGTGACCGGACGTGTTTTTTTTTTTTTCTAACCATTCACGTTATCGAGTCTGTAAGGAAAATCTCTTTTTCCTTACTTCGCGTCCCTACTCAACGCATACATCACTGTAGCACCACAGTCAGCACCGTTACCACTCGCAATCCTCGCATCGACAATCCGCCCGCCACCTTCGCACGTCGCACCCCGACCTCACGGCTCGGCCGACTGTAACGATAACTTCGACGGGACAGGCTGTGGACACTCTAAGGGAGGATGAGGACCAGTAGAAGACGAAAGACCAAGAACCTGCTGAAGGAGCGGAACGAAGTACGGCCGAGGCCGCGCGGCGACTCCAGACACAGCAGGGACAGCACCAGCACCCCCAGTGGCAGCACCAGCACCAGTAGCAGCTCCAGCGCCAGTACCTCCAGCAGCACCAGTAGTACCCCCAGCAGGACCGCCTCCAGGACCGACAGTAGTAGCCTCCGCGTCAACACCCGCAGCAGCTCCAGCTCCAGAAGTAGCCGCAGGTCCAGCAGCTCCAGTACTCCCAGTACGAGCACCTCCGGGACCCGTGGCACCAGCTCCCTCAGCAGCAACAGAACCTCCAGTACCCGCAGCACCTCCAGCTCTAGCAGCTCGCCTCCAGCGCCGGGCAAACCACTCACGCAGCTCCTGTGGAGAGAGTGGCTCCCGGCGAGAAGAAGCACCCGGAGAACCGCCAGGCACAGCACCAGCAGGCCCAGCTCCCTCAGGCTCCGCACCCCCAGGCTCAGCACCTCCAGGCGTAGCACCCCCAGGCTCAGCACCCCCAGGCTCAGCACCCCCACGCGTAGCACCCCCAGGCTCAGCACCCCCAGACTCAGCACCCCCAGGCTCAGCACCCCCAATCGTAGTACCCTCAGGCTCAGCACCCCCAGGCGTAGCACCCACACGCTCAGCACCCCCAGAGTCAGCACCCTCAGGCTCAGCACCCTCAGCAGCACCAGAGTCACCAGCGACCTCGACAGGCTCAACAGCGTCTACCTGGGACACACCTGAAGGGGCAGGACCCTGAGGGGGGAGGGGGTCTACCGGGGGGGGACCTGGCACAAGGAAGAGCGGTGGCGGGGGGAGGGACGGAGTGCGGTAGGGGAAGAGACGGTAGTAGGGGACCGACTCGTCGAACGTGACGTCCTGGGAGGACAGAACACGGCGAGAGGTGGGGTGGTAGAACTGCCACCCTGGCGCGTCAGGGGGGAAACCCAGGAAGACGCAAGGAGCAGCACGAGGAGACAGCTTGTCCGCAGACAAGTCGCGGACAGACGCCCGAGATCCCCAGACACGGAACGCAGACGCATCGCCAACCTTCCCCGTCCACAGCAAAGCTGGGGAGGTCTCCGGCATGGAGACCCTGGGCTGAAGGTTGATCTGATGCGCCGCGTACCGAACCGCAAACGGTCACAGAAAATGGGGGGCAGCCGCATGCATCATGGACGTACGGGCGACGTCCATGACCATGCCAATGCGGCGCTCAGCAATCCCATTTTGCTGTGGAGAGTCCGGAAGCGTGAAGGTCTGGCGGATGCCTCGTGCACGACAGTAGGCTCGCAGAAGGCCAGAGGAGAACTCTCCGCCTCTGTCAGAGTGCAGACGCAGAACAGGAAAGTCCGAGCCGAAGCTCTGCCTGAGCTGGAGACGAGCTGCACGGATCTATTAGATCAACACCTCAGTGACATCACCCTTGCTGCGCAAGGGGAAGACTGTGGTGTAACGCGAGTAGTCCTCAACCACCAGCAGGAAGTAGCGCTCATGACCCAGTCCACGGACGCGGGCCGAGCCCCACACGTCCATGTGAAGCGTCTGCAGTGGGGCCTCTGTCGGAGGAAACTGAGAGGAGTGAGGGGTAGCCCGCTGCCGCCCCTCGACACAGGGGACGCAGGTAGGGCCAGGCCCCGGAGGAAGGGGAGGGAGGGACCGGGGAAGACCAGAGACAAGGACACGGGAGGCCATGCTTCGGAGACGAAGCAGGGAGGGGTGACCAAGGCGGTGGTGTCAGAGGAGAGTCTCGTGAGACAGGAGGCGACACGAGCAGGGGGCAGACTCAGGACCAGACCTGGTCGCTGCAGCAAACACCTGACCCGACGCAGCTACCTGACCAGACGCAGTGACTGGAGGAGACAAAATGGTCAGTGTGTACAGGCTCGACCCCGGCCGACGTGTAAACGTGGCCAGGTGTCGGCCTGTCCGAGCGTCCGTGCATTGGGTCACCCGCTGACTCGCAGGAGTGAACTGGTGAACCCCTGCATCCTGTAGGTCAGCACCACTCACCAAGTTCGTAGAGAACGAGGGGAGGTAAAGACCAGACAGGGTGCCAGAGGGGGCCGCCGGACACGGGAGGACAGTGGAGAAGTGAGCAAGCACAGGACCCCCTGAGGGGTCTGCCAGGGAGACTGCAACTCGCCGACCAAGCGGCGTGAGTGTGGTGCGGTCTCGAAAGAAGGAGCGAGAAGCCCCCGAGTCAAGTGTGAAGGTGTGGGAGGCCGAAGCCGACGCAGTACCTGAGAGCGCAGACTCACCAGTACCGGAGGAAGCAGACGCACTAGCACCTAGAGCAGCAGCCTCGCTAGCACCAAGAGCAGCAGCCTCACCAGTACCTAGAGCAGCAGTCGCAATGCCCGGGTCGGGCGCGAAACACTGGTAACAATCACCCTCCTCACTAATAGACACTGTATACATAGCAGGAAGAATAACATCAAAGTCAAGGTCAAAGATAGCTACCCCTGCCCTGGACAGCTCGCCCCAGCGAGGGATCTCAGTGGCCCCAGGGAACTGGTGACGCCAAGCGTCCGTCAGGCGGCCAAAGCAGCGCTGGGTGGGGTGCGCACCCCCACACTGCTCACCCGCACGGTCGCCGGTGCGCATGACGTAGGTGCACGGACCAGTACCCCCACCCCGCTGGCGTGCAGAGTACCACTCACGGAGCTGCTGAGGGGACAGGGTCTCCCGACTGCGCTGCTGCTGCTGGCGCTGACCACCACCGGAGCCACTCCTCTGCGAAGAGCCACGACCTCCTCCTCCTCCTCCTCCTCCGCCACCGCCTCCTCCACCTCCGCCACCTCCACCACCTCCGCTCCCACCGCCACCGCCGCGGCCGCCT